TGAGGAAGGGTCCAGGCCCGAAACGTCAGCCTTCCTGCTCCTCTGATGCTGCTCGGCCTGCTGTGTTCATCCAGCTCTACACCTTGTTATTGCAGTAAATAAATGTTAGGGACCAGGTAACACCAAGCACAGACTCTCAAAGGCCTAAGGCATGTGGAACGTATCATGCTAAAAAGTTAATCTAAGCTTTAAAAGAAAGACACATCTTTGTAATGCCACTAGTTATCGCTTTATATATCTCAGTTTAAGAATTCATTTAATTATTGAGAATTCCTGAGAGGAAATGCATCATACAGATTCTGTTAGACCATCAGTCAAATGAAATAGACCAGAAAAAAACATGGAATAAAAGTGTTGAAATTTCTAAATACTGTCACCTACACATCTTATTTCTCACAATCATATAGTTACTTAGGAGCCTCAACATTAAATAATTAAATAATGAACCCATGGAGCAAAACAAATGGAGAGCTTAATCCAGTGACGCTAACAAAGTGATGACAATATCACCAGAAAAATACATGTAACCATCCAATGCAATCACAGTTGTAACCACAAGATTTATCTTTGAATGAATTTGGATGCTTAAATAAATCTACCTTCCCGTTTGATAAAGGGCTGTCTAACCTCTAGTTAGAAAAACTCTACATGCTCAAATACATTGTTGCACAAACCCTATATAGATGGTTTACCCACTTAATCAAGATGTTCTAAATTATGGGCTTTTGATAGCAGAGACAGGGAGAAATTATTTCCACTAGTACTTAATAAGAGGACACAGATCTTTGATAATGTACAGAAAAGTAAGTAAATGAGAATTTTATTTATAGTATATTTCAGATCATAATTTTCTATCTGGAAGGTTGACAGGCACAGATCAGTAGTCACTTTTAAAAAGATGTCGAACATCTACTTGAAAAGGAGAAATATGCAAAATAGGGCAAAATGGGAGAGGAAACAGTTCTATCAAGAAGCAAACATAGACATGATGTGCTAATTGGCTTCCTTCTGTACTTCATGATTCCATGAATGCTCAAAGAGACTAACTGAGTTAGAGGTTATTGCACCTTTCAAGGGAATCAATCTATGCAGCAAAGGAAGATATGAGGATCTGGTGAGACCATGTGGCAGTCACAGTAGCAGCCCATACAATCAATACATTCTTTCTTGCTGAAAATCTTTATGGTTGTTTTGAACAGTTGGCTTCACAATATTGCTCTTTCCAAATCCTTCAGTCACACAGAAAACCACATTAGTATATCAGTCAGCTTCAACATTACTTACTTTCTTGCCAATGTATTATTGTAATAACTGAAGAGAGTTGGCCAATGTCTGAATGATAGTTTTCGCCACATTTCCTGATCCTGAACTCCCCACGTGATCTCTTCTTTGAAGTCATTCTCTGGGAGACTGGTATCACTACGGACCTGCTGTTTGTCATCGTCAATTACACTTTCAGGGTTGGGCAAAGGTAAGGCATCAAGAGGATTTGGATTCTTGTTCTGATCTGTGCCACGTGACTGGTTCTCTAATGCTGGGTTTACATCTGATGGAAAAGCAGGCAAACTGCTCTTAGTATCTCCCCTCTGGAAAACCCCTGGTGGAACTGCAAGAGGTGGTAAGCCACTCTCTCCTAGCGGGCTCTGTTCAGCAACCTGAGCTGTCAAAAATGTCCGGAGGCCAGCAGGATCAGTGTAAACCAAGATGCCAATCCATATTACTGTACCCATCTGAAAAAGAAAAATAATGAGATTTAGGTATTATCAAATTCATCACAGTAAATTTACTTGTTTAAAAAAACTTGCATTTATGTTTTGTAACTCTTAGTTTAAAAACAAAGTGCTTTAAAGACAATTAAACAGAGAGACCAAGGAAGCAAATTGTTACAACCCACTGGGGCAAGTTGATTCTGAAGCTCCACTCCTCCCAGGGTGACCACAAAAATCAAAATATGGAAAGTCCCCAACTTACCTGTCTGGAGGATTCAGGTGAACAGAAAACAACACTGATCAGCTTCTCGTACTAAACAAAAACTATTGTTTATTACAAAAATATATGCTTTAGCCACAAGTGACAAAACAATGAACTACCAACATATAACTCGACTGGTGAAACCCAAACCCCTACACTCCGTCTTAATGACCTATCTACTTAATGAGATTTGTTGATGACTGCATAATATTCCATTTGGAGATCCTCAGACAGTGAAGCAGCCAGTATCCACATGCAACAAGGCCTGGACAACATCCAGGCTTGGACTGAAAGCGACAAGAAATATTCACACCTCACAAGTGTCAGGCAATGACCATTTCCAACAAAAGTGAATCTAACCATAACTCCTTAACATTCAAAGGCATTACCATCATGAATTCCCACCATCAATATCCTGGGATCACCACTGACCAGAAACTGAACTGGGTGAGCTTATAAATACTGCAGCCACGAGAGCAGGTCACAGGCTCGGAATTCTGTTGTGTGTAACTTGCCTCTTGTCTCACCAAAGCCTGTACAATATCTACAAATAGCAAGTCAGGAGTTTAACGTTTTAACAAAGATCTGTAGCTCGGGTTGTGGTTGGAGTTGTTTGGTTCGCTGAGCTGACTGGCTTTCATGCACATGTTTCAATGCTGTTTTGCCTCTACTGAAGTGCTGTTGTTCTGTCCTGCTCTGAATTTATATGGTCTGGTCTGTTATCAGGAGTACGATGGAATGCCTGGATGGGTACAGCTCCAACAACACTCAAGCTTGACACCATTCAGGACAAATTATTCTGCTCGAGTGGCACAGATTCAGCACCCTCAATGTTCACTGCCGTCACCACCTCAATTGCAGCAGTGTGTATTATTTACAAAATGCACTGCATTAACTCACCAAGCATTCTTTGGCAGCATCTCCTAAATTCATGAACCTCCATAACCCAGAAGAACGAAGGGCATTAATGCATGGGAACCACCACACCTGCATGTTTTCCTCAAAGGTGGGAGCAGAGGGCAGTGAAGAAGAGAGATGTCATGTTTGCCATCATAATGATAAAATTTGAATACAAGAGCAGGGATGGCTTGCTGGAAATTAACTGGGCCTTGCTGAGACCACAGCTAGATTACTGAGTACAGTTCTGGTCTCCTCATCTGATCAAGGATGTTCTGACTACAGAGATAGTGCAACAAAGGTTCACCAGACTGATTCCTGTATGGCAGGACTGTTATTTGAGGAGAGACTGGATTGGTTAGGATTATATCAACTAGTTCAGAAGAAATGGAGGAGGATCGATAGAAATATATAAAATTCTAACAGAACTAGACAGGATAAGTGCAGAAAGGATATTCCTGATGACTGAGGAATCCAGAACCAGGCATCACAGTGTAAGGATACAGGACTGAGATGAGGAGAAATTTCTTCACCCAGAGTGATGATTATGTAGAATTCTCTTTCACAGAAAGCAGTTGATGCAAAATGATTGAATGTTTTCAAGGAGGAGGTAGATATAGTTCATTGGGCTAAAAGGATTAAAGGAGTACAGGGAGGAAGTAGTCACAGGGTACTGAGTTGGAGGATCAGCCGTGAACATACTGAAAGGTGAAGCAGGTTCAAAAAGCCAAATGGCCTATGCCTATTTCCATGTTTCTATGTAGCCACACACCATATTGACTTGCAGCCTATACCCTGTTCCTTCACCGTCACTTGTTGAAAATCGTGGAACTCCTCTTCAGACAGCAATGTATATATATCTGCACCCAAAGTAGTTCAAACACTACCAAATTCGCCATTGCAATTTAGCAATGGAAATTAAATGCTAATTTCAACTAAGACCTAACTAGCAATACCTGCATCCCATGAACAAATAAAAACACAGCAAATAAACATTTCTACAATATTAAAAATCGGAAATAACTTGAACTTTCTAATAAAGTTCTGTAGGATGATCAACATTCTGGACAAATTTAAGTAATACAGTGAGGTGTGCAGTATCTTTATTTTCATCTCTCACGACACTACAGGGAAAACATCATCTTTCAGTTTGAGTCCTGAGAAAATCAAACAGTATGGATGTTAATCTGCCCTTTTCATTTCTAGGCATCAACTGACTAATGGGTATCATTGGCATCTTTACTGGTGTGTTTGAGAAATTATTATAAGTAGAAGCACAAACAAATCCCTTCTGTCAGATAAATTATATTATAGGAATAATAAAGGTACTCATAAATGTCAGTGGGGTGAAGGAATCTTGAAAGATCATCCAAAGGACTCTAAGCAACAATATAATAAAACCCTCAGTGATAAAATAAATTGAGAAATCAAACCAAAAAAGGTCGAAACCACTTCCTATCGAGCCTAATAGATTTGTAGCTAATTACACATGCATCAAACACAATCCATTTCTTACCATAATGATTCTCTGTGCAAGTCGCGTCCGAGCCAGAAAATATACTACCCTCAATCTCTTTGGCAACCGTAAATTTCTAAAAGACGACGTCTGCAGGGAAATGGTGTACGGAGCTGAAGTTCGCATCATAGGCTGACGTTCATATCTCTGTTGCCTTGGAAGTGACTTGGAGCGAGGCAGCCTCAAATGGTCAGGGATTTCTTGCACAGCCTCTGCTGGAAGACGCCTATTGAGGTCGGCAAGCTGAGGAGAAACAGAGAAGTCGTGAAAACTGCAATGATAAATTAGAAATTAGGAGATGTAAAACTTCTTCAAAATATGAGAAACAAAGAACTGCAGATACTGGAGATCTTAAACAAAAACAGAAAATGGCAGAGAAACTCAATAGGTCTGGCAGCAGGTGTAGGGAGAAAACAGAATTAACATTGAGTAACTCAGATCTGAAGAAGAATCACTGGGCTTGAAACATTAACTCTGTTTTTTCCCATAGCCAATACTAGACCTGCTGAGCTTCTCCAGTAATTTCCATTTTTGTTTCTTTAAAATGTATATTCTTACACTGTTTTCTCTCTATATTAGTCATCTTCTTGTTATAACAGGCTTACAAGCATTATACATGTGTGTATACAAAAATTATATTTTAAGTAATAGTTTACAATTTCTGCTGCAAATCCTTGACAGTGCTGCCATTTCTTTTGGTTTCTCATTTTTTAATACAGCCAAAACATTTTGGCCAAAATACACCACCTGTGCTTAGATCTTCTGGATCCTCTTCCCAATAACAGTTAAGATCATGCTGCCTACTCATGTGTACCTGAATATTTATATTGCTGCTTGATATTAATTATCTAGATCTTGAAATCCAGGAAAAAAAATTAAAGAGTGCATATGATGTAAATCTGGAAACATTTTAAACTGTGAGGAAGACAGTGTGGAACTTTAAAAATATCCATGGATAAATTGGGGCAAGTGGGCATAGAGGAGACAGGTGAAGCTCAAGTGATAAAGTGTGAGGTGATACATTTTGGTAGAAAGAACGTGAAGAAAAAGTATTTCAAAGGGTACTACTATTAAAGGCGTACATAAACAAAGAGTCCTGTGCATTAGTCATTAAAGTTGGCACCATACATCAAGATCAATTTTGTGGTCTTGGAAGGGATGCAGTACAGATTCATCAGAAGCAAAAGAAAAAGCGGGGAAACGTTATATAGACTGCCTTGAACTGAACCTTTAAACGAATAATTTGATAAAGCTAATAAAGAGAAATTATTTCCTCTGATGAGAGTCCAGAACAAGGAGGTAGCATTATAAAATTAGAGCTAGACCTTTCAATGGCGATTCCAGATAGTACTTCTTCACAAATTAGGTAATATCAATCATAAAATTGGTTCCCCAAAAAGCTGAAGTTAGATCAACCAAAATTTTAAAAATGATTGCGGTAGATTTATGAGAGACATTAAAGACTAGAAAATCAGGACTGGTAGAGAAAGTTAAGAAACGAAAACTGAAATTGCTGGAAAAACTCAGCATTTCGATCAATTGTTATAATATACATTAATAACTAATAAACCACTGCACTACATGGTTGGGTACAGGGAGAGAATGCACAAGGAAATTGTACCTACTAATTTCATAGCACTATATGATGTCTTTCAGAAATTATAATAAATACCTTGAACATGAACAGGTACCAAAGAAATATATTAAACATGACATCAGCAAATACGGTGACCCTTTTGCACACAGGGAGGAGCATTAAATTAATGGACAGTTCATTTATCTCTACTGGTGTTGGTTGAGGGAGGAATGTTGCCTAGGACAATTCTTTATCAAACGATATCACCGCTACTCATCACACAACTCAACTGCTGAAACCCACAACCTCTCAAACAATTCTTCACTCCCTCAGTGCTTCTCAGCAATGTCAATAAAGAGTATACGCTCAAGTCTTCGAGTGGTTCTTAAAGCCACAATCTTCTACTATGTGGAGAGAATCTCGCTAGTTAGAGAGCAAAGCTGACGCTCCATAATGTTAGATTCAAAATTAATTGAACTCAAGAGTATGGCAGACTTATCTTACCTCCATGCGACGGATATCAATGGATAGCACTGTTGTGAAGAAAAACATCTGCAGAAAGAAATCGGAAACAAGTCCAACCACTGCAAACAGGCAAAATTCCTGTAAGAATTGGATAGGTGGGGAACGGGCAAGTGGAAAAGATACACAGAACAAAATAAGAAAGAAAAGTTCAATACATATCATTTTTTACTTTCTGAAAGTTAAGACATGAACAGCACATTTGAAGAAGCAACACAAAAATATTAAGCAGAACGGGCGGCACAGTGGCTCAGTGGTTAGCACTGCTGCCTCACAGCGCTAGGGACCCAGGTTCAATGTCACTCTTGGGTGACTATCTGTGTGGAGTTTGCACATTTTCCTCGTGTCTGCGTGGGTTTCCTCTGGGTGCTCTGGTTTCCTCCCACAATCCAATGATGCGCAGAATAGGTGGTGCTAAATTGCCCGTAGTGTCTGGGGATGGGTCTGGGTGGGACACTCTGAGGGTCGGTGTGGACTTGTTGGGCCAAAGGGCCTGTTTCTATACTGTCGGGATTCTATGAGCAAAACTTAGGGCATATTCTCAGAATGTTGCGTAATGACAATTAAACAGTATGATTCAACCCAAAGCCTGTCGTTTGTCTTGTTTGTCAAAAGTGAATTTTACATTTTATATTTTAAAATCACTTTATCTCCGCATATACATGCTACTAGTTTAATTGCACTTAACTTGGATTTTGCTGTTCAAAAATAAATTCTAAAGCCAAAATAGCAATATTCAGCTTAGATACGAATTTTATTAAATCAGTACTTTCAGGTGGAAAGCAAATCAATATATTACAAAGCAGCTATAAGACAACAATGGTATCATTTTATTTCTTCTCTCACAAGTTGCAAAGTCACCTTAATCCTACTTGACCATCGGGCTGGGTTCTCATTGGACAGAGATGACTGGTTGTGGTTTAAACTGAGGGTCACTATATCTAGGGCAAGGGAATTGAACCCATGTTGTTGGCATTACTTTACACTGCAAACCAGCCATCCATCCTGACTGCCCTCAACATTTAACATTTTCTCAGCTTAATCTTGAATTACAATTCAAAGATAACCTTTCTAGGTCCTTTTAATTTCCAAAACCATAATATTTTGCTTCCTCTTCTATCTCCTCAAAAGTAATCTAAAATCTTTAGACCTCAGTTTCCTGTTCCCTAATCTATCATGTCCTTCCTTATCGGACTGTCTCCTGTTAGAGCATTTTGACACTATAACAAAAAATAATACGATTCAAATTATGAGATTTTGGGTTGAACTTTTAACTTGTATTTTTCATTGCTATGTGAAAGAAGCTGAAAATCCAATCACTCAAAGGACTCCCAAAAAGAACAGCTGTGTGCTCTAAGAATAGATGCAGATTGACTGAAGTAGGCTACACAAGATGCAAATGTTAAGGCACACATACTAGAAGTAGCATACCAGTTGTCAATGGGATTAAAAGTCCCCAGGTGTCACATTAGCCATGATCCTAATGAACGGCAGAACAGGTTTGAAGAGTCAAACACCTATTTCTTAAGGTCTTATGGTACTACTGCAAACTCTGAATTTTCCCTGATTTTCAATTGCATTCTGTTTCTTGTCGTAAATTTGTGTTATTTTTAATCACTATTCCCTTTATCCTCAAAAGGAACACTAGCTTTGAGTGCCTCATCTTTCCTGCTTAACAAGAATCCAAACTGCAGGGCATCAGGGTGGGAGAGATAATCACATACTTTGCTTCAGGAGGCAATCACATACATCCTTTAGGTTGAGTAGAACTTTATAGTTGGTAAATGATGGGGCAAGAGGGCGTGACTGAAATTCTGGCAGGTATATGGATCCATAATGATGGAGGAGTGTTAGTTCTTGACTTTGACAAATAGGCACAAGGTACTTATAGAGGAGAATAAGCGTTGCAAGATGGATAGACAAATTGATCATTGCACTATAGTTAACAGACTATTCAAGAAGACAGTGTAAGAATATACATTTTAAAGAAACAAAAATGGAAATTACTGGAGAAGCTCAGCAGGTCTGGTAGCGTTTAATTTGATTGGTACCGATTTGGATGTTGCTAAGCAATTTAGGTGGTCCAAACCAGATGTTAACGGACTTCCAAGTGTGTGCACTCTCCTGGATACTGGCTTATGAGCTTTGTTACTCAAGTTAGGTCGAGTGGGATTCTTTTGCTGTCTCGAGTCTGCTTATCAGCAGCAACTATAATGATTTGCTGGCTCAGATCCTGAAAAAAAAATTAACTGTTTGGCCATAGCTTAGCTTGGTTTTAGGGTTTTGCTGAGGGCTGATCTAGAGTCCCTCTGTTCAGGATATATACTGAGTAAGGCTATGCAATTGCGTTCACTCAAGTGGTCTTCCTTAAGCTCAGTCAGACTGATAAGGGTGTCCACTTCCATCGCAATACCCTGCAACTCATATGCTCCACTTGTCATATTTTCCAACGATAAAGCCAGTTGTAGTGCCTGTTTGAAGTCCAATTGGGCTTCAGTTAATAGACGCTTCTGCATGGCTACATCACTAATCCCACTCTCATCCCACTGAAATAACTCCACAAAGGCTGGTATCCCGTGACCAAGTCACCCTTCATTTACAGCTCTCAGACTGAACAGAATGTCTGACACTCCTGCTCCTGTCAGCCAGGGTTCCTTAATTGGACTAGATTAATCAACCAGCCTCAATCAGGGAACTCATACTCTATGACGTCCACCTGGCTGACCTGGTTAAAATCACTATGCTACTATATCTTTTTGTAGCCCCCTTACATCCTCTTCACAGCATACTTTCCTATTTATCCTTGTGTAGTCAGCAAATCTTGCAACCATACATCCTATCCCTTCATCTCAGTAACTTGTACAAGCTGTGAACCCTTGAGGTGCCATCACCAATCCCTGCAGCACACCAGTCATTACATTGTGTCAACTTATACCTAAACTTTGCATCCTGTAAGCCAGCGAATCATCTTTCATGCTAATATGTTACCCCCAATGCCATGAGCTTTTATTTTCCACAAAAAAAACTTATCAAATGCTTCGAGAAATCTATGCACATTACATTCACTTGTCCTATCCTCAGAGGCTTAAAGCCATAATATAGACTGACAAATGATTTAAACCACAACAGAGAAGAAGCCAGTTTTTGTTAAACCAATATCCCATCAAACTTTCAAATACACATAAAAGGACCTCAGCACCATCTAAGGATCATACACCTAGCACTGGAGAAACAGACTATTTGGTCATTTATCGGGATGTCATTGTTTGTAGACTGGTTTTATGATTTTAAAAAAACAGACTACTCTTGAAAAGCACTTCAAGTCCTGAGTTTGTAATAGCTGATTTATATCAATGCAGTTTATCATCTTTACAGCCTCTTGATTGTCTGGAGCCATGATTTAGAAATGATTCATCCATAATTTTTGCTTTCATATCCTTTTACTTGGCAAATGTTAAGAATAAAGTACATGTTCCATTTGGAAGTAATAAACTCTTTTGATCTTCAATTATAAGTAGAGATGAAGGAAACTGAGAATGCAATTGAAAGCAAGAGAGAACTAATAAAACCTTTCAAGATATTCAGACAAGATAAATTGTAAACCAGCTTAACATATTCACATATCTTTTTCAGTTCAAATTTCAAGGTTTATGTTCTAAAGGTTCTGAAAATTCGTTTTCAATTTAATAATTTTATACAGAGGCGAGAAAACACAAAACTGCTCAAAGAACATTACTGGTAATTTTCAAAGTAACTTTTGAGTTAATGACTGGATAGTTAAGAGTTATTAATTTGCTATTAATTCTTAAAATACAAGTATTTTGAACATTTGGAGTGGCCAGTTGGATCACAATGTGTTTTCTAGCCATGCACGTAGCTGTGAATACCACAAAGTAAATATTATCTGTAGAAAAATATAATTTTGCAATGCTACTATCTAATCACGTTACACTCATTGAGTCTGAGAGAATGCTCTACGGAGGTTTACTGCAGATTTGATGGGCTGAATAGCTTCTATCTGTACCACAAGAACTCTATGATTCTATTCTTTGATCTATAACATGCAAATATTCTACACAACAAATGCACAGACTATCATCTGCAGTGATGTATCATCAGTAAACATTATACAACACAGTAGATTTTGAAAATAAGTTTGTTAACTTTTAAATTTAAGGATGCTTAGTGCAGCATACCAAGTAAAACATGAAAAGGAGTAAAATCAGAGCGACATAGCACCAAGTTTAGATCTGACACGACACAAATGGCTAATCTTTATGTCTGTGTTCCAACCATAATCGTATCATCTACAACTTCAATAGAAGAATGATTCGAGCAGGAAGCTGAAGATAGAATCCAATGCATTACTAATGAGTAAAGGTTAATGTTTAATTGAAAGTACCTTCCTGATCCTAAAAATTCAAGTACTTTTATAACACATCAAAACAGTTCCTCTTAACTGGAAGGAGGACAAATTACAAGAAATACCTGAATAGCTGGAACTAGGGTAAAGTAACCAATCAGTATGATAACAAGTTCAGTAGCCATGTTCTTCATAATGGACCAGCTTTCATTGCTTAAACCTAGAGAAACAAATTACAGGCATATTATCAGAATGTTAAAGATGTAGCAACTCACTCAACTATTTTACAGCAGTTAAATTCATAAAACTGCTAAACACTTTGCCACATTATTTAACTAAAACAAAAATCAGAGATCATGACTTCACATGGTATGAAAACGTGTCCCAATTATCTGGTAAAATGATGAAACATAAACAGTAATTACTGGAAAAACTCAGCAGGTTTGGGAGCATCTGTGGAGAGAAAGCAGAGTTAACGTTTTGGATCCAGTGACCCTTCTTCAGAACAGGGCTCAAACGTTAACTCTACTTTGGCTCCACAGAGCTACCAGACCTGCTGAGTTTTTCCAGCAATTTTTGTTTCCTAATTCCAGCACCTGCGATTCTTTGATTTTTTTGTGTTTAATGGTAACACGTTGGTTGGACCAGTAGTCTAAAGAACATGAAAATAATTACAACGTCAAGAGAAAAGCAACAAAGATCTACAAGTTCACTTCAGGGAAAGCAATCAGTCATCACCACCTCATCACCTGCACATGGCTCTAATTCCACATTGTGGTTGGATTTTAATATTCTCCCATGTTAAATAGCAAACCTTTCAGTTTTAAAAACATAATTTATGAAGAAGATAGAGCACCGCGAACTTTCTAAGATGACAAGAGTTGCCTTTCAAGCCATACATCATCCTGACCTTGAATAATATTGCCACTACTTTACTGGCGTTGGGTCAAATCATGGAATTACCTTTCAAAAAGCACTGTGGGCATATGTACACTCAAGGACTGCATAAAGTAGTTCACCATCATCTTTTCGTTTCTTTATTCATTCATGGGATGACGGTGTCACTGGCTAGGCAGCATTTATTGTCCATCCTTAATTGCCCAGAGGGAAGTTAAGAATCAACCACATTACTGTGGGTCTAGAGTCACACGTGGACCAGACCAGGTAAGGATGGAAGTTTCCTTCCCTAAAGGACATAAGTGAACCAGATGGGTTTTTCTAACAAATCAGCAATGGATTCACGGTCATCATTGGATTCTTAATTCCAGGCATTTACTGAATTCAAACTCCACCGCCTGCTGTGGCAGGATTCAAACTCAGGTCCTCAGAATGTTACCTGGGTCTCTGGATTAACAGTCCAGTGATAATACCATCGCCTCCCCATCTTCTCAAGGGCAAACATGAATGGACAACAACACTTGTCTAGCCAACAGCACCCACATTCCTTGAATGGAATTCTTGGAAACGCAGTCTTGCCAGTATCACCCACCTGTCAAGACCATTCAACTTAAAAACAAATCAGTATCCTAACATTTATTAAAATTACAAGGCATGCACTAAGGGCTTTAGCTGTTTTAGTTTAATCCTTAAACAGGAAGCATACATAAATTGGTCTCGGTCTGATTGGCTGAATGTGACAAGTGGGATCATGCAGGCTCAACACCGTGAAAAAGAGTAAAATCAGAGCCACACTGCGTGAAGTTTAGGCTTGACACTGCACGAATGGCTAATCTTTATGTCTGTGTTCTAACCATAAGCATATAATCTACAACTTCAACAGAAGAATGATCTGAGCAAAAAGCTGAATATAACATTCAATGCATTACCAATGAGTAAAGGTCAAATTAAAATACCTTACCGACCCTAAAAATTCAAGCACTTTTATTCTACATCAAACCAGTGCTTCCTAACCCAAAGGACAAATTATAAGAAATACGTGAATAGCTGGATTACATCAGTGTTTATATCAATGGCTTAGATGAAAGAAGTGAAGGTGCTGCTACTAAAATTGCAGATGATACAAAGGTAGGTAGGCAAGTATATGGTCAAGATAACAGAAGGAATTTGCTCATGGATATGGATGGGTCGAGTGAGATGGCAAAAATCCAGCAGACGGCTATCCATTTTTTTGAGAGGAATTGAACATAAAAGGAGGTAGTGCTTCATAGATGAGACCACACGACAAATACTGTAAAAAAGCTTGGTCTCCTTATTTAAGGAAGAATGTTAATGCATTGGAGATGGATCAGAGGAGGTTTACTATATTGATATCTGGAAAAGTGGGTTTTCTTATGAGGATAAGAACATAGGACAGTGCAGCACAGTACAGGCACTTTGGCCCACGATGTTGTGCCGACCTATTATCCTACTAAGGTCAAACTACCCTGCATACCCTACATTTTACTATCCTCCATGTGCCTATCCAAGAGTCCCTAAAAGTCTCTAAAGTATCTGACTCCACTGCCACTGCCGGCAGCATACTCCACACGCCCACCACTCTGTGTGTGAAGAACCTACCTCTGACATCACCCCTATTCCATCCTTCAATCACCGTAAAATTATGCCCCCTCGTAATAGTCATTTCCGCCCTGGGAAAAAGTCTCTGGCTATCTAATTTATCTATGCCTCTCATCATCTTGTACACCTCTATTAAATCACCTCTCATCCTGTTGGACAGGCTGGAGTTTAAAAAAATAGAGGTGACTTGACTGGAGTGTACAAGATCTTGAATGGCCTTGAGAAGATGGGTGTAGAAAAGATGCTTCCTCTTATGGAGTCAGTCCATAACTATTTTAAAATTAGGAGTTGCCTTTTTAAAATAGAGATAGCAATAATGTTTTTCTCTTTCAGAGATTTGAGCAATTTTTGAACCCTCAGCCTCAGAACGCAATTAATTGGAGATAATTGAATATTTTTATAGCAGACATAGATTTTTTTTGTGGGCAAGGGAATCAAAGGGGGTAGCTGGGAATACGGAATTGAAAACATAAATATATCAGTATGATCTTACTGAGTGATGGAGCAGGCTCAAAGATGGATAGGCCCACTCTCACTCTTATTTCATATGTTCGAGAGTGCATCTGGATGTTTGTTATACAAGTCTCATCATGATTTCTACTGTGATCACCCAAATCACAAAACAACCTAATGGGAAAATATGATCAGGTAAAAACAAATCACTTGTATGTTAATTTAGAAAGTATAAGCTGTTTTAGAAACAAGGCTATTTGAACAAAGGGCCTTCATTATCTCAATATCAATTCATTGCTTTGTCGAAATTTATGACAAGCATGAAATCTATTTATTAGTAATACAAGAGATGTCTTGGAGAGGGTACAAAATAGCAATGAAATTGAATAATTGCCTTCTTGCTTCTTTGCTGGGATGTGCATATTACTGGCCAAATCAGCAGTTATTGCCCATCACTCATTGCCCTCAAGAAGGTGATGGTGATGACGACCCACCTTCATTAACAGTTGTAATCTACATGTAGGAATGCCCACAGAGTTTAGAAGGGAGTTCCAAGATAAGGTTATTACAATAAAATTTGACTCAGTCAAAATTTGAACCAAAGCTCTCATGAGATCATGAGTGGACTGGCCAGTGGAACCCAGACCGAGCATCAGTGAGCAAGTAATTGTTATTTAAGTGGCATCTGACAGCCATTTGAAAGTGATCGAGAATAGACTGACAGGGCGGTAATTAGCTGGTTTTGAATTGTCCTGCATTCAGTGGGCAGAACACAGCTGGGGAATTCTCCACATTGATGTGAACCTACAACAGCTGGACACAGTGTGCAGCCAGCTTAAAGCAAAAGTTTTCAGTACCACTGTTTGGATATTGTCAGGGCTTGAGATTTGCTATATCCAGTAATATTAGCTGTTCTTAGTATCACCTGCAGTGAATATAATTTGGCTGAACACCAGCATCTGTGATGCTAAGGACTTCAGGAGGAGATAGAGATGGACTTTCACTTGGTACTTCTGGACTAAAATGGTTGCAAATGCTTCAGTCCTGACTTTTTAACCGAGAGATGCTGGACTCCACTATTAGTGACTAGGGGGTTACTTATAGGAGCAAATTAATGCAGATGCTGGAATCCGTAATGAAAACTACAGATGCTGGAGATCAAATCAGATCAGACAGGATCCATAAAGAGACAGCAAACTAACGTTGAGTCTAGATGACTTCATCAGAGCTGAAGTGAAGTGTAGAGGGGCCAGCATGTATGCTATAGTTTCGGGGGAGGTGTGGTGTGGGGGTAGTGGGCATAGGGTGCTGGTGGAGAAAATATGTTGATAGTTCACAGTAAGTGATTGGAATGTGAGAATGGCAGAACGATGGTGTGTCTCCTGCCAAATTTGAAAGGACAGACAGTCCCATTGGGATGGAACTCTCTCCCCCTATCCCAATAAGGACAGAGTCCCCCTGGTCCTCACATACCAACCCACTAACCTCCGCATCCACCACATCATTCTCCGCCACTTTCGCCACCTGTGATTTGACCCCACCACCAAAGTGATATTTCCCTCCCCACCCCTGTCTGCCTTTCATAGGGACCGCTCACTCCGCGACTCCCTTGTCTGTTCCACACTCCCTACCAACCCCACCACACCCAGTACCTTTCCCAGCAACCGCAGGAGGTGCTACAGCTACCCTTATACCTCCCTCCTCACCTCTATCTAGGCACCAAACAATCTTTCCAAATCCGACAGGGATTCACCTGTACGTCCTCCAACCTGGCTACTGTATCTATTGCTCCCGATGTGGTCTCCGCTACATCAGTGAGACCAAGTGCAGACTCCATGTCCGATTCGCGGAGCATCTGCGTCTGTACGCTATCATCAAGAACAACTTCCAGTTGCCAACTGTTTTAACTCCCCCTCCCACTCCCTTAGTGACATGTCCATCCTGGGCCTCCTGCAGTGACGCAATGACGCCACACACAAATTGGAGGTACAACACCTCATATTCCGCCTTGGGTGCTTACAGCCCGATGGCCTCAACATAGAATTCACCAGTTTCAAAACCTCCCCACCCCCGGCCTCATCCGATGTCCAACCCTCCCTCTCATTCCCACCTCCTTGGCCTGGCACAACCTGTCCATCATCTTTCCCACTCCACCGTCCCCACTGACCAATCTCCACTACCCCCTACCTGCATTCACCTATCATCATCCCATGTTTCCTAGGTCTCCTGCAGTGCCACAACGATGCCACCGAAGGCTGGAGGAACAGCACCTCATATTCCGCTTGGGAACCCTGCAGCCCAATGGTCTCAATGTGGACTTCACAAACTTCAAAATCTCCCCACCCCCGACCTCATCCCATGATCAGCCCAGCTCGTTCCTGCCTCCTTGACCTTTCCGTCTTCCCTCTCACCTACCCGCCCCTCCCTCCCAAATGACCAACCCCCATCCCAACTCCCTACCAACACTCACCATTACTGGCTCCATTCCCGCCTCCTTGACATGTCCGTCTTATCTCCACCTATCTGCTCCTCTATCCATCATCGCCTCCCCCTCTCTCTATTTATTTCAGAGTACCCTACCCCTCCCCCATTTCTGAAGAAGGGTCTAGACCCGAAACGTCAGCTTTCTTGATCCTCTGATGCTGCCTGGCCTGCTGCGTTCATCCAGCTCTACACCTTGTTATCTTCCCACATACTTTCCACCAGCCCAACACCCTGCTTTATTTATTTCCAAGTTCCCTTCCTCGTCCCCAGTCCTGATGAAGGGTGTAAACCTGAAACGGCAACTTTCCTGCCCCTCTGATGCTGTCTGGCTTCCTCTGTTCCTCCAGCTCCACACTACATTTACAAGGACGAACACCTCAACAGCTTACCCATACAGCTCTTCAGCAACATTAATGACCCAAACTTCCCGAACTGCTGCGTGAACCTGAGCTAGTCACAAGTTCACTATTCTCCTCCTTACCCAACCACAAAATCATATCAGCAAAACAAGGAACCCAACTCTTATCCTGTGGGATGCTAATGGGCACTGGAATCTAGTCACACAGCCCTCTATCATCATCCTTTGTCTCCTACCACCAAGCCAATTTTGGATCCATCTTGTCAAGTTACTGTGGATGCCAAGTGCTTTTACCTTCTTTATCAGTTTCCCATGTGGGACTTTGGGAGATCAGGCAAACCTTAGCCGAAAGGCAACCTACCCTAAGCCCCACTGTTGTATGAATTCTGCCAAGCCAGCTCTGAGCATGCCCCAGCAGAGATGGATAAGAGCCAGCGCTAGTTAAAACCAACTCATTTAGCTTGACCCCGGTCTCATTGGTGGTCAGCAGTTATGGCCAAGTCTTCTCTATCGAGGTCAGCTTCTTAACAGAAAAGGCAAAGTTTATTAATTAGCTCTAATGGTTGGCATTTTTTAAATGATTGATTTAATTAATTACTCATTCAAGGTATCAATTTATCATTCTGGAGTTTTTTTGTTGCTGAAATTAATATTTATTGCTGTGGAAAATCTCACCTCTCGAAAATTTGCTTAACATCGTCATTCTACTGAGTGAGCGAAAAATTTAAATGCAAACCTCTTGCTCTGTGAGAAAAGGTCAGATAAAAATATGATGCAAGGCTATGGGGACAAAATACAACAGACTGGCACTAGGCAATGATATTCGGTTGAAGAACTGGTGCAGGCATGATGGGCCAATTGACCTTGTTATGCACCGCAACAATTCTGTGTTTCCGAAATGCTGCCTGTCCAGCATTTTCTATTTTTATTTCATAATGCCATAATGAGTTTTGCGTGGGGACCATGAATTAAAACATAAATAATTCCATCAAACAACGTGAATCCATCTCTCATTTTATCATCAATTATTGAATTGGGAAAACTGGCCTGGGAAAAGATGCTTTGGGAAGCTGACGGCAGTAGTTGAGGGAGGGAGGGAAACACAGCATATGTAACTTTAAATAATACGTGTTTTTTTTTACCTTGTGCTATTCGTAGTTTGACTTCAAGATCAACAGGTGTGGAAACAACTGACTTAGTGAGAACGAGGACATTCTCCAAACCAATGACCACAACCAGGTATGGAAATATCTCACTTTAAAAAGAAAAACATGAAAAAGCAAATTAGAACTGTTTAAGAAATCAAATATAGATTGGCCAACCACTTTTCCAAACACTTCTGTTAGTTCATAAGCATAACGATAGCTTTCACCTGTCATTTCAATTCTCACCCCAATCTGACTTTTCTAACCCTCAGCCTCCTACGGAGCCCAACGCAACTTGAAGGAACAGCATCTCATCTTTTGACTAGGCACTTTTTTTGCTTTTTGGAATATGGAGTTCATCAGCTTCAGATCATAACCTCCTGGTCCTTTGTTTTGTTTTTGTATGGTAGCTGTGGGTGATGCATTTGTTTTCCATGCTTGTACCTCCTCTAGAGGAATCTTTTGTTTCTTTATTTGTCAGTTAACTATAATTATATTTAATAATATACAGGCGGAATTAACTATGATTCACCTAAGCACATAAAGAGAAAATATTTCTTAAAAATGAGGTATGACTGAATTCGGCAATAAATGTCTTGCACTTATTCACAGAATGAAACAGAGTAAAGATGGTTTCCAGTATAATCATTCATTAACTGTTTTCCAAAATAGAACACTATAATCACATCCTGTTTTCTTGCACCATCATAGCTTTCTCCATTTAATTTCTCCAGCTTTCCATTCTATTACAGGTTGTCCTTTTGTTCACTCCTCCCCTACAAAAAACTTTCCCTGGTCTGCTTAAAAAACTCTCTAAATAGCCCCAATTCCAACGAAGGATCGAGTTGAAATATCAATTTAGTTTCTGTCTCCATAAATGCTACAGAATCCTCAGAATTTCTCCAGCATTTACATTCTTACTTTAGTGACATATGTTAGATGCATGGCCCACATGTAAAAGGTTGTAACAGCATCTTTCCACAACTGTTGTGTTTCGCAAACATAAGCAAGTTCAACAAACCTCTAAATGCTGAACTGATTGAAATAGTGTAGAAGTATTCCTTTACATCTCCACTATTATGGGAGACTCACCTTCTGTTCCCTTGAAGCCCTTCACACTGACCACACTTCACATACTAACCGTTATGCTGGCTGACATTGTAAATGACTCCTGCTCTACCCTGTTCCTTTCAAAACCACTGTCACTGCCCTGTCCACAAAATAACACACCTTTTACAACTCAGTGCGAATACGCTCAATTAGTTCCACTCTCACCTATCATAGCCCAAGCTAAACCAGCAATGCCTTCACTTTTATTCTACGCCATTTTCTCTGACGTTGAAATAGCTGCTACAAACTCAGCACGAAGACCAAAAAGGTGGGTGGTTTGTATCTCGCACTGCGTGGTAATACCTGGTTCCTGAGGCATCCATGTAGGAAGTAAGAGTTGCTCGCGGGTTGCACTCTCTTATTTGGCGTAGTTCTCCCATTTTCATGCCAATTTGAGCGTGTTACCGTAGGTGTCTAAGGTTTTGGAGTAGATTTGTTGAACACCCACAAACCGAGCTACAAATCTACTCCAAGACCTAAAAGAGTAAGCTACCAAACTACTAATTGTAATGAAGCTTAAAACGTTCACTTTGGTACTGGCAACTCTCAATGTAAAAAGAGCTTTTTAAACAAAATTATGAACCTGTTTCTATGTAATAACATTTTCTTTCACATCCTGTAGCGGAATTTGAAACCTCATGAGAACATTATCACTGCACCTCAAGGCCCCAGTAAAAGGAGTTAATACTACAGTAAGATTCTTAATTAACACTTACCCACCATTTAAGGTAGGTGTAAGACCAAAAAGAGTACACAAACCAACCGACATCAGGAGAGAGCTCAGAACAGTTGCTACTGCTGCAAGTGCAAGTCCCCATTTTGATTTCACCATGTCAATCTTTCCTGTGGAGTTACATAACACGAGATAAATATAGTAGAAAACATTAATTAAACAAAGCATATTTTGACTGAAAAGAAATGTTCCCATGCATTGTCAGGGAACTAGTCCTGAGAGAAAATTTCGAGATATTCTTATCTGGATGTCAAAATTCTAGGAGAGTGCTGCTATACTGGCATTACAATAATACTCCAATTAATTTACTTTATCAATGAATTCATTAATGGAAAATTTAAAAATTACAAAGTACACAAAATTCCTGGGTCCCCATTCCACTGGCAATAACACCACACAGTGAGACTCCCATTCACCCACAGTCAGAGATGCAGACTTCATACCCTTTCGTAAGGATGGGATCATTAATGTAAGGGTGGGTGGCTCACACTTTCAGGGCTCCATTAGTGACAGCTATGGTGCCACACAACTAACACATGGGACGGCACGATGGCTCAGTGATTAGCACTGCTGCCTCACAGCACCAGGGACCTGGGTTCAATTTCAGCCTCAAGTGACTGTGTGGAGTCTGCACGGGTTTCCTCCGGGTGCTCGGTTTCCTCCCAAAGTCTGAAGATGTGCAGATTAGATGGAATGTCCATGCTAAATTGCCCACTTTGTCCAGGACGTGCAGGCTAGGTGGATTAGCCATAGTTACTGCGGGTTACAGGGATAGGAAGAGGGTGGGTCTGGGTGGGACGTTCTTCAGAGGGTCGGTCTGGACTCAATGGGCCAAATGGCCTGCTTCCATGCTGTGAGGATTCTATTCTAAACTCTTTCACTGGAGTTCATAAAGATTGGAACTGTAGATGAAAAAGTTTAACTGGATCCTTCCAATAAGTTCCACATTACAACTTACTGGTAGAGAAATAAATGTATGCAAAAAGAATGATGTACGTAGTGACCAGAGGAATCAATTCAGCAATGCCAATTTCTTCTTTAAAGTGGACATGGACTATCTGATCTTCTCTCAGAGTGCTGTTCGTATTAGGATGAAGCTGCTTCAACCTCAATCGGAGACTGTTTAGGAATCTGAAAAGAGACAAAATATTTAATATTGTACTTTAGAACACCTTACAAGGAATAAAAGATATCTAACTTTGGACAGCATTATTTGCTTTCCAAGTCCTATTCCACACTGTTGTCAATTTCTATTTTGAATTGTGCAATACTGATCCTGCAGCCCCAACGTATTTTTACAAATTAAGCAAGGACATATTTCGTTTAGAAGGACAGCGAGGGGTCACTAGTCAATTTCCTGGGGTGAGGGGAATAACCTAGTAGAGATTGAATAATTGATAGATATAACCCCCAGAATTCAGAATAATGAACGGTGACCTAAATGAAACAAAATACTTAAGGGATTTGATAGGATGGATGCTTTGGGAGAATGCTTCTCCAGTTTGGAAATCTTGAACTAGGATTCAGTCTCAGGCTAAGGGATAGGGCATTTATAACCGAAATATAATAATGTTTTTTTACACGCATGTTTGAAATTCTACCTTTGCGAGCTGTGGATACTCAAATTGTTGAGTACATTTAAAACAGAGGGCAATAGATTTTTGGACTCTGATTGAATCAAGGGAAGTGAGTGTTAGCTGGGAAGGTGGAACTGAAGTAGAACAACATTCAGGAAACTTGAAGTGCTAAAGGCCTAATCCTCTTCCTAATTCTTAAATTATTCAGTGGCTTAAAAACGATCACAGGGAGAAAAGCTGGATCTGCCAGAGGTCAGGAAACTTTCAATACATCAGCAAAAGTTTCTCTTCCTTGATTAAAATCACATGATACTTGGGTCAAATGCTTCTAAAACATCAGCAAATTATACCATATCTGTGATAATATCCCGTAAGTTCTTGCAATTTAAAATAAAGTCATCAAGTAATTCGCAGGAAATGGCCAACCCAGGGTACTCCAATCTCTGCTGTTGATTTTTTTTTTTAGGGAGCAACATGGGTCTATTCTGAAAGCATTTGAAGAAAAAAAATCTAATTTTATTTGCACACAAGTTGTCAGAAACACTTACACCAAAATTGTAGCATTACCATTTTTTGCTCAGTAGTGACACAATGGATTTCCCTACAGCAGACCCTTTTCCTTTACTTGTACTTTCTGAAGGATGGGCAGGAGCAGTTCAGTTATCAAACGTGCAAAGCATTGACTGGATGACGGCATCTGATAGGAAATATGCATGATATGCAATTTGGACAAAATGAGAAATATTTCATAATGTGCTATGTTTTTATCCTTCCTAATGCTCTGAGCGAGCTTAATGCACTCAAATTAGAAAGTCCTTCGAGTTGAGTGTGAATGTGAATGTTTGGACATGATTGACATATGTAGCAGCTGCTAATCTTCTAGTTTGGACTTTTAATCTGGTATATCGAAGAGCAATGCATACTCATATTGAGTTGGAAGTATCCACACATCTTGGTGCTGGTTTGGGCACCAATGACAGTACAACCCCAGAATCATATCATTAAATTATCAGTGTGGGAATCTGCTAGAATGATTGTTTTTAACTAAATTGGTCTTGCCAATTAATGAGTGCAGAGACAAAGGAGGTTTAGAAACAGGCAAGAAATTTGATTACATTCTCTGGGCAACTGAATGTTTGATGCTGCGAGAGTCCAAAGGCTCCTGCTCCTACTCAAACTGCTAGCAGTTTAGGAAAAGAAAGGTGCCTCCAGGTTCACAGGAACAGAGCTCATTCTTGCAGCTGAGAGTGTGTTTCAGGGAGTTATTGACTGGCAGTGAATTGCATCTTGCCTATACCAGTGTCAGACCAGTATCACAATACAGTTGCAGGGAATCTACAACAACCTTTACAAGAACTAAAGCGGAAGGTTTCAAATACTGGCCAAAATATTTGTGTCTCTCTGAACATTTACATAATCACCAATACGGACAGGAAGATCAGGTCACTGTGCAAATTCTTACTGTATTAAGGGAGTGTGATATGACATCAATTGTACAAAAGCAAAGTACTGCTGATGCTGGAGATCTAAAAGAAATGGAAAATCTCAGGAGTTCTGGCAGCATCTGTGGAGGGAGGAACAAAGTTAATGTTGGGGTCTGATATGATTCATTTTTGGACTTGAAATATTAATTTGGCTTGACTCTCCAGATGCTTCCAGGCCTGCTGAGTTTCTCCAGCAGCTTCTGCTTTCCTTTTATGACTGTAATGTTATCGGTGATGTAGTGATACAGGCTTGCTGACAGAGGTGGGATATTGAACACTTAAACAAGAAGGGCCAGTGTCATATCATAAACTATGCTCAGACATGAGCTTAAGGGATACATGATCTCACTGCAAAGAGGCCAGTCTGATAGTGAAAGCTAACAATACAACTAGAAGTGGAGGGAAGGGTACATTGAGCTCTACCACTGAAATAAGAACTGTGTGAATATGGAACATGATAGATTCACTCCTTGAAGCAGTATTTTTTGTGGTTCTACACCTTGCCTTGAAGATACCTACATTGATTTGGGAGGGATTCATGAGTGTTTTCATTATCTTCTTCACTTATCTAATTTTTATATGTATGGGTCAGTAGGGAGGGAATCTCAGCCAAAAGTGGTCTTTTGCACACGCAGAGATTTTCCAATTAAGATCGCTTAACAAGAGTCTGGAGTACTAACTTTAGTCTTTCTCATTCTTGGCTTAGGGCTAATATACCAACATTAGCACAACACTAATTATTCTTGCGGAGCCAGAGCATACTTAGTCCTGTGACAGGTAGTACAACAGATCAGCAGCATCATGATAATAATAAAACAAGATTAGCAGGAGCGCAAAGAGCAGGCAGCAGTGTGAGGGGGCAGTGTTGTTACTCTAAACGAGACAGTGTGAATGACATGCATTACAGAGCTTGTGCAGGGTGAGTGCCATTGGCATAAACTGAACTGGACCAGCCATACAAATACTGTTTAGTACTTCCATGGGTAGTAGAAATCTGAAGAACACTCCCTCAAAAAGTTGTCAGAACAGAAAAACAAGGGTATAAACAGTTACTGAAGCAAAGAAGGTTAAATGCAGTTAAGATGTAGATCAACCACAATCGAATTGCATCGTGGTGTTGTTTCAAAGTGATGAAAAGGCCACTACTGTCCTCACATTTCATATCTCTAAATTTTTACTTCATTGGTATTTTTGTACTTACTGCACAGTTTTTTTTTACTGGTGCTTTGGAAAGTCATTTCTTTGCTCTCCCCTCTCTCTCTCCCCCCAACCCCTTGTGGTCACTTCAAATGGCCAAATCCCTACAAACCACAGATGTGTGACTTTTACAGTTCCCTCTCCCCCTAATAAAGTTATCAGATGTAGCAGATCAAAACTCTATAGCAAAGTGTAAATAATGATACCATACCTTACTAGAGAAAACTGCAAGAAGGTAACTTAAATCACTTCTGCATCATTCTGGTCTGAATTTTGCAAGGAGTGGAAATTTACCAGTATGGAACCTCTCTCAGGTTTTTAAATAAAAATCTCACCTCGAGTGGTACTCCTGTAGGATGATGGTGACAGCATAGGATACCAGCCTTTTGCGATTGTGCAAGCTGACGCCACTGTGCTTTCCAGGAATTCCAAACAGCAAGTCTATACACATTAATTAAGAGTATTAATTTTGTACCTGCTGTTCAGAGGTGCAACACTTTCTAACAGAGAACATTATTACATAGTGTAATACATGGTTCTGCACTTCATTGCCCCATTAAAAAATAATTCTTTCAAAATCTCATTGACAATCTTAACTTTTTCTACTTTGCACTGTCTTGGGCTAAAGGCCTTTGACCTTTCAAGTAATTAGCTTTTTTTCTAATTTCTCCTTTTTATCCTCAACTAAAACAAACACATCAAAGAAACCTCTAGGTGCTGGTCAGTCTCCTGTCCTTCACTGTGATTGGCAGTCATATATGGAACGCAAGAGTGACAGTTAGGTTATACCCTTGTGCTGGAAGCTACCTTCACATATGTGACTTCTGTAAGGTTTACAAATGTATGAACAAGGAACAAGAGTAGGCCAGTCAGCCCTTCGAACCTGCTCTGCCTTTCAAAAAGATTATGGCTGATTTTAACCTCAACTCTACATTCCTGTATATTCCTGATAATCTTTCATCTGTTGGTAATCAAGAACTTTTCGACCACTGTCTTAAAAATATTTAAAGATTCTGCTTCTACTTTTGAGCAAGGGAATTTCAAAGACTCCCAATCCTCTGAGAGAAATGTCTTTTTTCCTATAGGACCAACACTTTTTCTTTGAATTTGATACTATCAAAGGCTTTTTTTAACGTTAATCACAGGTGGCATGAATTTTTCTTATCTGTTGTAACGTATATCTATTCTGTATTTTCTAGAATATTCCCCTCATGTTTGCCACTGCATCGCTACTGACCTATACCTTAAATTAAACTGCCTGTTCACTTTCGTAAGCTCTGCTTTCATTTCCTTCTTTAAATTAATATTCGGCTTGGACACACTTTTCTTCCCTGAACTGTGTGCAAAATTCAATCACATTATAGTTGCTGAAACCCAGGGGTGCTTTCACAAGCAGGTCAGTAATTAGTCCTATCTCATTGGTCAAAACCTGATCTAGTATAGGCTGATCTCTCATCTAGAAATTGACAATGTAAGAAACTGTGCTAAAAGCATTCAATGAATTCCTCATCTAGGTTACTTTTCCCCCACTTGATTTTTTTTCAGTCTACATGTGTTAAAATCCTCCACGATAGCCGTTGCACCCTTTTGACAACTTCCTCCATAGTCCCCTGTCCTACCACGTGGTTATTGTTTGGGAGTCTGTATCAACTTCCACAAGTGACCTCTTGCCTACGTCATTACTCATCTCTACCCAGACTGCTTCTATATCCTGGTTTCCCAAATTAAGGTGATTCTTCTGCCTCATGCTAATATCATATTTAAATAATAGAGCCACTCCTCTCTCCTTTCCCAGCTTCCCGTCCTTTCTGAACGTCACTTACCCTTCAATATTCAAGTCCCCATCTAGGTCATCCTGCAGCCACGTCTTGGTAATGGCTACCAGGTCATACACATTTCTCTCAATTTGTACTACTAGTACAAATTTTGTTTCAAATGCTACATTCATTCAAATACAATATCTTTAAGTTTGGCCTTTTATTATATTTGTAGCCTCTAGCCTTGTCTGATTAACTCTTAGATTTGTATTCTCTGCCCTTTCCTGTCATTGTCTATCATTTCCCACATTAATTCCTTCTTCTATTATAAGTTTAATTTTCTGAGTTAGTAACCAATAGATTTTCTGTGCATTGATATTTAACTTAAGTCATTTCTGTAGCTAATCAAATAAGAACAAAATACTGTGGATGCTCAAAATCTGAAACAAAAACTGAAAATGCTGGATAAACTCAGCAGGTGCCTGGCAGCATCTATGGGGACACAAATAGAGTTAATGCTTCAAGTCCATCACAAAAAGGTTGGAAATAGTGGTTTGCGTACATTTTGACAAAGGCAGAAGAGGAACCTGGGGAACAGATGGTGCACAAGACCAATAAAAAAGACAAAGGGGCTGCTAATTTGGGTGAAATAGAAGTAGGGATGTAAAACAGGTATAAATTAAGGCATAGAGGGTGAAAAGGAATCCTCTTGGCTGAGACTGAGGGAAATAACGCAAGATGATTTCTTTTAATACAGGTTTTGAGACCTCTATGTTGAAGGTTTTGTACACATTGGTAGGGTTTTAACACCAAACAGGTCAAAGGTGGCTTTCATTTTAAACTGAAGGGAATCACCCATAGCTTAGAGAGAGAGAGCTTTTTTTTTTTTAAAACGTTTTACTCGGAGTTTGGAGCAGTCCTGTGAAGTCTTCGAAATAGGGTGAGAAAGGAAGGATATAAAGTGAAAACCTTATAGTTATTTTAGCGTTAAGTGTTAGGATTAGTCCCAGACCAGAAGTGCGAGAGTAAAACCTTTAAGAGATTGCTTAAAGCTTTGTACATTTAACCAGATGTGTGATAGCTCCAGGAAGAAGCTGTTTGCAATACCAGTCTGAAAGTTTAAGTCAATCTGTCAAGGTGCTCAATACAGGGACTTTATTTTGAGTACTTTGCAAATAGTGTTTTGGGTACTGTACTATGGATAAGTTTGGGTACTGTACAAAAACAATTGTTTCTTTTCAATTTATAAAGGAGAGTTTGGGAATAAGAGAATATTCTAACTGTGTGATTAAAACCTTTGAATTTGTGCTATAAGTAGATGATTTGGTTTATTCTATTATCTCTTTATTTCTTTAGTTCATAAGCTTCAGTTTTATTGTAAATGTTTACTGTAAATTGTTCTAAAATTTACAGCATTGCATGTTTATATTTTAGAAAAATATCACTGTTACAAGAAAACAAATCTAAATATGATCCATCAAACCAGACTCCTCCGGGATCTGACTCATCTGGTAGTCAGACTCAGATCATAATGGCACCTTTACACTATACTGTTGGCACTGACTGGTGGTCTCACTGTAAAAATTAACACACAACTTGTGGGTCAAAAGTACAGTGCAACAGATGAGTAAAATACACTTCTTTGCATCTTTAAAGCAAGGTTCCTTTTGCTTGCCTGTTCATACAGATAGACATTAGAGATCCATTCAAAGCAAGATAATTTTTTGCTGGGGTCCTAAACTAAATTTTTCACTTGACCAATACGACCATAGATGAATGAATCAGTAATTTATCTAATTTTTTGGTTTTATTTTGATTTGCACAACATAGATATTGACATTTTGTGGGCACAGGCTGCAGGATGGGGAGGAAGAAGAGAATAGAAGCGGTAGAAATTGAGCAAGAAGTAGCTGTGTTATAAATGGAGTTGACAAAAGCCACCATCAATGCAAAATAGGCTTTAAGTTCTGCTGCTGAATGCTGTGGCTCAGCTAGCAATGCAGAGATACAAATATGTGCAGCATTTAAAGAGAACAGGTTACTCTAATTGGAGAAGATTGCAGACATAAGATGAAGTGATGTTATTACTGCTTGATCCAAAGGCAATACATTGTAAATGCTGGAAATCTAAAAACAAAACAGAAAATTTAGGGCGGCATGGTGGCTCACTGGTTAGTACTGGTGTCTCAGTGCCAGGGAGAAGGTTCAATTCCAACTTCGGGCGATTGTCTGTGTGGAGTCTGCACGTTCTCCCCATGTCTGTATGGGTTTCCTCCAGGTACACCGGTTTCCCCTCTCAGTTCAAAGATGTGCAGGTTAGGTGGATTGGCCATGCTAAATTGCCCTTAGTGTTCTGGGATGTACAGGTTAGGTGCGTTAGCCATGGGAACTGCAGGGTTACAGGGATAGAGTAGGGGATTGGGTCTGAGTATGAGGGTCAGCGTAGACTCGTTGGGCCAAGGGACCTGTTTCCACACTGTAGGGATTCTATTCTGTTTATTCTATTCAAAATGCTGAAAATACTCAACTAGTCAGACAGCAACTCTGGAGACACAAACAAAGTGAACATTTCAGGCCAATGATCTTTCATCAAAACTCTTCAAAAGTCCAAGCTACCTTTAAGTGAAGCAGATGTTTGGAGAGTCTTTGGCTCATATTGGTGAATAGTGCGAATGATATCTGGATCAGAGTCAAAGTGATCACGATTATTCTTCCAGAAATTGGCTGGAGAGATGAGGAGGCAGCCATGTTCAGGAAGTAGACTCCGTAACTTCTTTAAGCCAGGGAGTAGATCAGTGATTTGGAGACAGACACTTTCTAGGCCTTTGGGGCCAGTACTGTGAAATGATGAAAGAATATATGTTATGAACTAATACATAAAAATTATACTTTTCCTTAAGGCAAGAACATGCTTAGCTGTTGATGGGAATGTGTGTCATTTGAGCAAATGTTTTGTTTATACAATCACAGGATAGCATGAAAACGAAGGAGGCATTTAGCTTATCAAGACTGCACCTTTTGAAGGATAACTTTGTCAGTCCCACTCCTTCTCCATAACCCTGCAATTTTATTATACTTCAAGTATTTCTTTCTGAAAGCTTATACTGAATCTGGATTCACCATGTGTCAAACAGTGCATTTCAAAATCTAATCATTTAGTCATGGAGATCTACAGCTCAGAAAAAAGCCTTTCAGCCCATCTCATCTGTGCCAGTCAAAAACAACCAACTAACCATTCTAATCTCATATTCTAGCACTTGGCCAATAGCCTTCTACACCTTAACATCGCAAGTGCATGTTATCAGGGTTTCTATATCTACCACCCTTGCAGGCAGTGAATTTCATATTTCCATCCTCTGTGTGAAAATCCTTTTCCTCATGACTTCTCTAAACATTCTGCCCCTTATGTTAAATCTATACCCCCAGTCACTGATCTTCCCATCAACGCAAGAAGTCTCCTCCTGTCTACTCTATCTATGCCCCTCAAAATTTATACATTTCAATCACGTCCGCAGGCATTCTCCACTGCCCTAAGAAAAACAATCCCATTCCATCCAATCTCTGTTCATTACTAGAACTCTCCAGAGGTCAGACAACATCCCAGTAATCTCCTCTGCACCCTCTCCAGTACAATCACATCACTCCTTTAATGGGAGTTTCACTGAAAAACATTTTATACAGTTCCAAGGTAAGGTGTAGAGCTGGATGAACACAGCAGACCAAGCAGCATTAGAGGAGCATTGGCAGTTCCCACTATCTCTTATACTGTTCCACTTGCTCTTAAACTCTATGCCTCAGCTAATAAAGGCAAGAACACTGGATGCCTTTTTAACAACTTTATCTACCTGTCCTAATACATTAAATGGACATGCATATCAAGGTCACTCTGTGTGCTTCTCATGAGTCCTACCATTCCTCATGCATTCCTTTGCCTTATTTGTTCTGAACAAGTGCATCACCTCACATTTAACCGGACTGAATTCCATTTGCTACTGATCAGTCCATCTATACCTTCTCACTACTCACCATCCCATAAATTTTTGTATCAACTGCGAAATTAATGAACAATCCTCCCACCTTCAAGTCTAATTCATTAATATAAACCACAAACAGACCCCAACACTAATCTCCCTAGGACCCATTGGACAGTTGGACAAACACTCCTCAACCATCACCCTCTGCTTCCTATCACTCAGCCATATGAGGAATTGCCAAATTTCCTTGGAGGGTCTTACCTTTGCTATCAGTCTCTTATGCTGGACCTTATCAAAAGAATTATCGAATCCCTACAGTTTGGAAGCAGGCCCGTCAGATACTGAGTCCACACTGACGCTCGGAACAGCATTCCACCCAGAATGACTCCTCTACCCTATCTCTGTAACCCTGCATTTCCCAAGGCTAATCAACCTAGCATATGCATCTTTGCAGTGCGAGGAAACCGGAACACTTGGAGAAAACCCATGCTAACACTAGAAGAATGTGCAAACTCCACACAGACAGCCTGAGGGTGCAATCGAACCTGGGTCTCTGGTGCTGCGAGATGGTGCTAACCATGAGCCACAACACTGCCCTAAAAGCTTTGCTGAAGTCCAAGTAGATTACGTCGAATGCACTGCCTTCATCTAGCTACCTGGACACCTCTTCGCAAAATTCAATCAAGGTCAGATATGACCTCCCCTTAATAAAAACTATGCAGAATGTTCTTGATTAATTCCTGCCTCTTCAAATGCAGATTAATTCTGTCTCACAGAATTACTTTCAATAGTTACCCCACCAGAGGTTAAACTGCCTGGCTGGCCAGTAGTTTCTTGGTTCATCCCTTGCTCCCTTCTTGAATGATGGTATCACATTCACTGCCCTTCAGTCCTCGCGCACTTACAAATTTTTGTAAGTGTCCTATTTTCTCCTTTCCTTACTCAATAACCTGGGACATAATTAGTCTACCTCTGGAGATTTACCTACTTTTAAGCTGCTAGACCACTGAACTTCCTCAGTCTATGCTAACTTTTTTAAACTGTATCTCAGACTTTCTACTCTATTTCTATATCCATATCGTCCCTCCCACTAGTGAACACGAACACAACATATTTTTAGGATGCTACCTCGATTTTCTGACTCCATGTACAAATTACCACTGTGGCCCCACCTTTCCCTTGTTATCCTTTTACCCTTAAAATTCACCTGAAAAACAATTTTAGGATTTTTCTTTGTTTTACCTATCAGTGTCCTGTCACATCCCCTTTTAGCTTTCGTAATCTCCCAAAGAAGTACCCTTTTATGCATTCTATACTCCTCTAGGATTTCTGCTGTTTGAGCACTTGGTATCTGCCATAAACCTCATTTTTTCTCTTGATCCAATTCTGTATAATCCAAAGCAGTCCAAGGTGGCAGCAAAAGTAGGCAGCCAAGGTCTCCCAGCATCTGCAGGGATGTTGAGCACGGGGAAATTACAGCCAGCATGGGGACAGTGAGCCCACTGAGATACAGGAACCCAGTGTGGAGGAGATCAAGCCCTTGTGGGGATTGCGAGGCCAGCATGGCTAAGCAATTAAGGAGGACTGTAATGTTGAACTTTTAACTTTATCTTTATTTCCTACTTTGTACCTAAGATTTTGTGCCTAGGTACTTTTGGTACCCAAGATGGCACCAGTAATTGCAACTTTGTAAATTTTTCACTGTACTCCTGTATCCCTAAACTTGTGTACAGGTGACAATAAAATCTAATTCAGTTCTAAATCTGAGTGCATATCTCTTGAAATCGAGGGTTCACAGGATTTGTCAGTCCCACTCTTTATATTTATTGGAACAAGTTGGGCCTGTACTCTTCATATTTCCTTCTTGAATACATCACACTTTTCTGAGACAGATTTATCTGAAATACCTGCTCCTAGTCCACTCTAGTCAAATCATATCTGATCTTATTAATATCAACCTTCCTCCAGTTTAGAACTTTGATTTCAGGCCCATTCTTGTTGTTTTCCATAACAATCTTGAATCCAACAGAGCTATGATCGTTGACTGCACAATACTGCCCAATTGCTTTTCTTTCTTTATTCATTCACAGGACGAGGGTGTCACTGGCTAGGCCAGCATTTATTGCCCCTCCCTGGTTGACCAGAGGGCAGTCACAAGTCAACCGCATTGCTGTGGATCTGGAGTCACATGTAGGCCAGTCTAGGTAAGGATGGCAGATTTCCTTCCCTAAAGGACATTAGTGCTACATCAACCAATTGCACAGGTTCATTGCCCAAGATTGAGTCCGAGAATGCCCCCTCTCTTTCATAGGGCCCTCTGCATACTGGCTCAAAAAGGTCTCCTGGATTTTTAAAAACTTATTTACTCATGGGATGTGGACATCACTAGCTTGCCAGCACTTATCTCCCATTCCTAGTTGCCCTTAGACGGCGATGATGAGTTGCCTTCTTTAACCGCGTCCACATGCTGTAAGTTGATCCACAATGCCATTACAGAAGGAATTCCAGGATTTTGACCCAGCAACAGCAACATATTTCCAAGTCAGGATGGTGAGTGGCTTGGAGGTAAACTTGCAGCCTGTGGCGTTCCCACTTAAGTGTTGCCCTTGTCCTTCAAAATGGAAATGGTGGTGGGTCTAAGAATCTTTGTCGAATTTCTGCAGTGCATCTTGTAGATGATATACACTACTGTTACCGAGTGTCAATGGAGGAGGGAGTCGATGCTTGTAGCCATGATGGCAACCAAGCCGGCTGCTTTAACCTGCATGATGTCAAGCTTCTTGAATATTGTTGGAGCTGCATCAATCCAGGCAAGTAGGAAGTATTTCCATCAAATTCCTGACTTGTACCTAGATGGTAGATGAGCTATGAATAGTTAGGAGGTGAGATAATTGCTGTAGTATTCCTAGCCTCTGACTAGCTCTTGTAGCCACTGTGTTTACGTGGCACGTTCAGGTGAGTTTTTGGTCAATGATGACTCCCGGAATGTTGATCTTGGGGGATACAGTAATGGTAACACCACTGAATGTTAAGGAGCCACGATTAAATAGTCTTTAAATGGATATGGTCATTGCCTGGTATTTGTGTGAAGACGACCTTATGAAGAAGAGAAGGTCAATAATGAAGCAGCTGGTTCAGCCTAGGACAGTGGCCTGAGGAACTCCTGCAGACACATCCTGAGCGGAGATGACTGTCCTCCAACAAATGCAACCATCATGTACAATGCATGGATGCATTTCATGAATTTTGTTCCCTCTGAATCTTTAACACTATGGCTACCCTAGTTAGTGCTGGAGAGGTTTAAATCCTTTACAATCACTAACATATTAGTTTTACACTGCCCGGAAATTTTCCTACATATCTGTACTTCTATTTTTCTTGTTGCATGAAGAAACCTTTGATTCGTGTTGACTCCATTCTTTTCCTAATCTACTTACATTGGTGCCATTTCAGTATTAATCCTTCAACACTGGAGAAACATTCCATTTAAGCTCTTCACAATTTTAAGTATGTTTATCAAATCTGCTTTTAGCTTTTTGTTCTCTAAAAAGAACAATTCCAGTTTTTACTAAAAAACTCTACTAGAGTATCATAGCCAGAATACTATTAAGAACAATATTAAATCTTCTTAGTTTCTCGTTCTCATCTATCAGAAATAGTCAGCACTCAGTTGGAAGATTAATATATGAAATTTCTCTAAATATGACTAGCTTCATGTTGTTTGGATTGCCTATAGGTATGAAATTAAGCAAACATTTATCCAAATGTAATTTGCTTGATGCTTTACTTGCCCTAAAACAGTGTGGAATCTGCTTTAAGCTGTAACTTAAAAATACAATAGCCATCAACCATTCATTTCAGTTTCTCCTTGGGTGGTTTCAGAGACATTTTCTTATGAAAAGTATCATCCAGCAGAAATGTGATTGACCTATGCTCTCATGAACATGTGGTCCAAAGAGCTAAAAATATTTTTTACTTTAGTTTTTCAATTGTGGGAAAGCACACTTACAGAAAGATGACCTAATTACTCTTCAAGACTCCTATCGACTAGCCTTGCAAAAATTTTTTGCTATACAAATCCACCAAAGTGATAATGGTTATTGACTCATACTTGGTTCCTCCAAATAAAGTCCAAACTCTCTCCAACTATCTAACTTTCTTTATTTTTCCTCTCTTCTTAGTTTAGTCCCGCCACCAAAACATGATGATCATAAGGAACTGTGTTTTAAGTTACACTTGGAGACAGATTTGTGAACTTTATTTCATTGCATTATTTATCCAAAAATACTGCCTCAAGTTCAGTATCTGTGCCAGCAGGTCTTCAACTGTCAAATCTGCCTCTTGTAGTTTCAGAGATTCTTCCTCCACTGCATGGTTATTTTCTGACAAGAGTTACTTCTGGACTCACTATTAGCATGTGAACTATGCTTCCTTACTATCCACTCCTTCACCTCACTTTGTCAGTCTGTGTGCCTTGTTTTTGGGTTAGGATTCAAATCAAGGTTCAAACTTCTCAGGAACTCTTAGTGCATATCGCAAAACAGTCTGTGTCCCTCTGAAATATATATCACACTAACATCCACTCTGGGAGACTGGCCTGAAGAAGAGACAGTCCTGTCATGTGTGTCATAATAACTTAGTATCACTATACAGCCACGATCTACTCTCGGTCATTCCTCACAAAACAGATGAGCTTACGAGGTGCAAAGTATTACATGTACCTCTCTCAACCATTTAGAGTCCAAGAAACAGAGTTAATACTTTGATCCAATAGGACTCCTCCTCACAAAATATAGTATTTTCTTTTTATCCAATTTGATCCGTTGCTCTGCATTACCTGATATCAGTTTTAATGGTGTAAGAAGCACTGTACTGGGCCCAGAACTTCGAGGGCAAGAAAGAAAAATCATCTAGACATTCTTCACAATTACTAAATCAACAACAGCAGTTGATATATATCTGGTGAGGATATGATCAGACATTATAGTTATACTTTATGTAGTCAAAATCTGCAGCACTTGGGCACAATGCAGAATACAACTAATGTCCAAAAACTGAGGACATTATGTTAACATCTTGTTGAAAAAATTAGTAAAACAGGTATAAATAGAGTACTCACAAAAATTTGCCCCATTTACTTTTCTTGCTCATTTTATTATTTTCCTTCTTTCCCGCATGAATTTGATTACGCAACAACTTAATGCTACAACAAAACTAACCTGGATCACAGCCACAATTAAGATATTGGCCGGAGTTTCTCTCATTACATATCGAAGAAACATGAGCCATAAGCTTTAAAATTCTATACTTTGTGACAGTATAAATAGTTAAATCCTTTCCTACCTGTCTTGAAAGACGTGATTTCTTATTTCTTCCACCAGCTGAAAAACTTTCGACAGAGGGGCACGGAATATATCTACACCAATTAGGTTTTTGTTCCAAGGGGACACAATAGCTTTTACAAATATCTGTTGGATGTATGCAACTGGAGGTCCAACATACTAGAAAGAAAAAAAGACGAATTCATGCAATTCTTGAGAACTAATTGAATAAAACTGGACCAAAGAATAGAAATGTTGTTGTACATAAAACAGTTAAGACACACTTATTTCCAACACTGATTCGATACTAAGTACATCTTCAGGGGCTTGGGACTCAGAATTATGAAAAGATTCAAGTTAATGAGTTAGTTTCTTGGAAAATGTTTGAGCAGTTTAGTGATCTGCATTTTCAAAGTAATCTGGGTCTTAAAAGATGGGAATTAGGTGGTTATAGAATGTTGTGATCACAGACCTAGAAGAACAAACATGATTCATGTCATATTGATTATAAGTTAACCTACCTATAATTTGAAGTACATCAAATAATTTGATTTAAACACAAACTTTAATTTACATAGGAGTGCCAGTTCAAGCCACGAGCTGCCACAACTAGAGAGAGAATTGTGATCCTGGACAACCACATCTGAAATGTGCTCAACGCAAGGATGTTCAACTCAGTACTTTTTTTGCACTCAGTATTAAGTGAGTTTAAGGTGCAAACATCTCTAGACATCAATCGGGGTGTGAATAGTTATCCACATGCTTTGATTCGGAGGATGTTCAAATTTATTAAGTTTACAAGCAATACAAGTATGGTTAATGATCATGACAGGAGGGTGAAACCGTAAGCCGGAAGGAAGACCTCAAGTTAATGTAAGAAAGGCCTTCGTTTTGACAGAAGCCAGCAGAAATGAGGTTCTCGCCGTGTGTGGATGAGGGCAAAATCTGAAAAGTGGACGACACTGTGGTTGGCTTTTTTAAGGTGCCACACTTTACAATGTCACTGATCATAACTCTCAATTTTCATGATGTCTTAGAAACCAACATTTGTTGTTTTCCCCAAATCTTTACCTGCCTTGCTTCTTAAACCATCATGTATTTTGTCTCCCTTTTCCTCTATTACCCTGAATTTTACCAGTCACTGACAGATGTTTAGCTTCTCTCAAGTACATGCCCAAGGAATTATCATCATCCCTTAGTGAGCACCTCCAAAAGTTATTGAGTATGTCTTCCTCAAAACTCCCTCATTACTTGTGTTATCCTCATCATATGGCTCAGAAACAACATCTCTGTTGTCTGTAATTTATTTTCCAATTTGTTTAGATTCCAACTTTGGCACCCATGGTAATGATCATATGTAGCATTTAATAATCTCATTCTGCTTTCCAAACAGTTGTTCCTATTTCTGTGAAGGTTTGTTTTTACAAAGTGTCTATGTTCCCTGATGTTTTGATCACTTTTCTAGATGTATTGGGTTACCACGATAGTAAGAAAATGATTCTACACACTATGTTCTTTCCTCAATTCCATCATTATCATCAATTGAAATACAATCTTTTAATATGTACTGTTTTGCTGCAGATGATAATTTATATTTTTTAATTTGTTATCTTTCAGGTCACCATGAAGGCCATGCTTTCTCAGTTTTGCCCCTCAGATTAAATTTGCTACCAGTCATCTCTCTCTAATAAAAGAGCAGCCTATTGCCCTTCGGAACTATGACAATCTTAACTTCCACTACACTTTGTAGATTTTCCTATTTACCATAATTAATTTGTCACCCACATAACTTCAAATTATTTATACTTCGCTTACTAAAATGCTTGCTAACTCCAACAAATGTCTTAAATTCATTCCATTGCAAAGACTAAAAAAATCTGGATACAGAACACAACTTTTTGGACTGCTCTGTTTGTAAAGACCATTCCTTTAAACTTTAAAAAAACTGCAGACTGAAATGAGACAGGTCTTTCAAACCAGGGTTGAACGGGTACCAAGTATGTTCTGGAACCAAGTAACCTTACATAGATGATTTGGAGTTGGGGAATAAGTGTGGTGTGTCAAAATTTGCAGATGACACTAAGGTGAGTGGTAGAGCAAAGTGTGCAGAAGACACTATAAAGTCTGCAGAGGGATATAGATAGTCTCAGTGAGTGGGCAAAGGTCTGGCAGATGGAGTACAATGTTGATAAGTGTGAGGTCATCCCATTTTGGTAGGAATAACAGCAAAATGGACTATGTTTTAAATGGTAAAAAACTGCAGCACGCTGCTGTGCAGAGGGACTTGGGTGACCTTGTGCATGAATCGCTAAAAGTAAGATTGCAGGTGCAGCAGGTAATTAAAAACGCAAATGGAATTTTGTCTACCACTGCTAGAGGGATGGAGTTTAAAAACAGGGAGGCTATGCTGCAGCTGTATAGGGTCCTGGTGAGGCCACAGCTGGAGTACTGTGTGCAGTTTTGGTCTGCTTACTTGAGAAGAGATGTAATAGCACTGGAGGGGGTGCAGAGGAGATTCACTCGGTTGATTCCAGAGTTGAGAGGGTTGGAGTTGAGGGAGGAGAGACTGAGTAGGCTGGGATTATACTCATTGGAATTCAGAAGAATGAGGGGAGATCTTATAGAAACATAAGCTTATGAAGGGAATAGATAAGGTGGAGGCAGGGAGGTTGTTTCCGCTAGCAGGTGAAACTAGGACTAGAGGGCATCGCCTGAAAATAAAGGGAAGCAGATGTAGGACTGAGGTCAGGAAGAACTTCTTCACCCAAAGGGTTGTGAATCTGTGGAATTCCATGCCCGGTGAAGCGGTTGAAGCTACCTCGCTGAATGTTTTTAAGGCAAGACTAGATAAATTTTTGAACAGTAAAGGAATTAAGGGTTATGGTGAGTGGGTGGGTAAGTGGAGCCGAGTCTCAAAAAGATCAGCCATGATCTTATTAATTGGCAGGGCAGGCTCAAGGGGCCAGATGGCCTACTCCTGCTCCTAGTTCTTATGTTCTTATGACATGCACTGCCATTGAAACATGTAAACAACTATTTAAACAAATAGTAATTGAAGTTTAACTGGAGGTGATTTGGAGCTGAGGGGTATACAGATGTAGCCTGTATGGTAACAAGGATCAATCTATGGACTAGTGACAGTTATCAATGACAGAGACCTTTTGCTTGTTAACAACTGTGATTGGTTCTCATGTGGTTGAGCAGCTTGAAGCTGAAAATAGGTTGGAGAGCAAGAACAGAGAGAGAGCGAACAAAAGACAGACAGAGAGACAGCGAGAGAAAGAAGTACCGTTCACAGATCTTCTCACAAGTCAGAAGCTGGTCTGTTCTCAGCAGACCAAAATTCAGTTCAAACCTGAAGAAAACTGGTTACCTTTCATGCAGCAATTGCTGTAAGCTGTGATCTTTAAATTGATATATCAGAGACATTTTCCAAGTAAATGAACCACTCTGCAATTCTTGCAAACCAGTGGAAGCACCCAGAGAAAGAATTTGAACAAGGGATCTGGCTAACCAATGAAGGACCAATTTAACATTTGAACCAGCAAGCAAAGACCATTGATCTGTCTTGCAAGTTTTTCTGCCTCTGCCAGTAATCTACTTTCTCTATTTGTGTGTGTCAAGGGTAGGATATAAGGGGATTAGAGTTTTAGTTAGTAGTGTTCCAAGCCAATGGTTTTTTTTAATCTATTTACCTGTAGCTATAGTCTAATTACCTGTAATAAGTAGCAATTCTTGTTCAGTACAGAATCCTGATCTGTGCTTCCTATCAACCTGGATCTGAAATTCAGGTAAATTGTAAAACTCTGTGTACTTTTTAAAACAACTTTTGTGATGACTCCAGAAGTAGTGGAGCTTGATTACCAGTATACTTAGAAAGAACAATACAGCACAGGAACAGGCCCTTTGGCCCTCCAAGCCTGCGCTGATACATTTTGCCCTTCCATACTGAAACTGTCTTCATTTACAGGATCCTCTACTCCCTTCCTTTTTTCCCAGTGCTTCTTGAATGCTGCTATTGTGTCTGCTTCCACCACCTCCTCTGGCAGCACGTTCCAGGCACTCACCACCCTTTCTGCCTCACACATCTCATTTAAATGCTCCACCCCCATCTGGAACCTGTGCCCGCTAGTAATTGACCCCTCAACACTGGGAAAAAGCTTCATACTTTCCACTCTATCAGTGCCATTCACAACCTTGTAAACTTCTATCAGATCATCCCTCAACCTCCTGCATAGCAATAAAAACAAACCAGTCTATCCAACCTTTCTTCATAGCTAAAATCCCCATACCAAGCAACATCCTGGTAAACCTTTTTTGTACCCTCTCCAAAGCATCTATATCCTTCTGGTAGTGTGGTGACCAGAACTGTACACAACTTTTTTTGTATTCATTCCCTTCTGTTTACTCCCTACCCCACCCACCTCCCTGTTTTCTGCATATAAACTGACATTTTCCCAGTCACCATCAGTTCTGAGGAAGGGTCACCAGACCCAAAACATTAACTCTGTTTTCTCCTTCACAGATGCTGCCAGACCTGCTGAGCTTTTCCAGCAACTTTTTGTTCCTGATTTACAGCATCCGCAGCTCTTTCAGTTTTTGTTTCAATTAAATACATACTTTTGTATCTTCCTTTGTGAAAGCAGAACTAATAACATCCCAAAAATGTTGGTGAACAGGGTCTAGTCAGAGAGAGGAAGTGAAATAAACTGGGATGAGTAGGGAAATGGTGTTGGGGAAACTGATGGGATGTAAAGCCAATATATCCCCAGAACTCGATAATCTACATCCATGAATGCTCAAGAAAGTGTACCTAATGGATACTTTAGTGGTTATCTTTCAAGATTCTACTGACTTGGGAAGTTTCTATGACTATTTAAAAAGAAGCAGAGAGAAAATAGAGAATTATAGACTGGTTAACCTGATATTGATAGAGCCCATTATCAAAGATTTAATAGCAGAGCACTTAGAAAACAATGACAGGATTAGACAGAATCAGCATGGACGCACAAAAGGGAAATCATGCTTAAAAAATCTACTGGAATTTTGAGAGAATGTAACAAGTAGAGATGAAAAGGGGAAGCCAGCGGATGTGTTCAACTCGGACTTCCAGAAGGTTTTCAATAAGGTTCAACATAAGAGATGAACTTGCAAAATTAAAGCGCATTGGTTTGGGATAGTTACTGACATGGATAGAAAAATGGTTGGAGGCAGAAAAGAGTAGGAATAAATGGGTCTTTTACTGAGTGTCAGGCAGTGATCAGTGGGATATTACAGGGATCAGTGCTTGGACCCCAACATTTCACAATATTTATAAATGATTTAGATGAGGGAACTAAATGTAATATTTCCAAATGTGCAGTTGACACAAGGTGAGCTATGAGGAGGATGCAGAGATGCTTCAGTGTGGTTTGAACAAGTTGAGTGAGTGAGCAAACGGAAGGCAGATGAAGTATAATGTAGACAAATGTGAGATTAAGTGGCAATAGATTGGGAAAATGGGAGACGCAACAAGACCTAGATGGTCCTCGAACACCAGTCACTTTAAGTAAACATGAAGATGCAGCAAGAGGTGAAGGAGGCATATGGCAAGTAGGCTTTAATGGCCACAGGATCTCAGTGATGTCATGTTGCAATTGTACAGGGTCTTGCTGAGACCACACCTGGAGTATTGTGTGCAGTTTTGGTCTCCTTATCTGAGGAAGGGTGTTCTGGCTATCGAAGGAATGCAGCAAAAGTTGAACAGACTGATTCCTGGGATGGCAGGACTGACATACGAAGAGAGACTGGATCAGTTAGGATTATATTCACTGGAGTTCAGAAGAATTAGAGGAGGATTGTACAGGAACCTATAAAATTCTAACAGGAACAGACAGGGTAAGCACAGGAAGGATATTCCTGATGACTGGAGAGTCCAGAACCAGTGGCCACAGTTTAAGGATACATGGTAAGTGACTTAGGACTGAGATAAGGAGAGATATTTTTGCACCCAGACTGATGAGCCTGTGGAATTCTCTGCACCAGTAAACAGTTGAAGCCAAATTGCTGAATGTTTTCAGGAAGGAACTAGATATAGTTTTAGGGCTAAAGGGATCAAGGTTATAGAGAGAAAGTGGAGGAGGGTATTTAGGTGGATGATCAGGCAATGATCACATTGAATGGCAGAGAAGACTCGAAGGGCCAAATAGAAAATAAGAGTAGGAATAAGCTAGGTTTCTAAGTAGCAATTAATTTGCACATAACAACTGTAGCTCCTACAAATAAGCATTTTGCAGAGTGAGGAATAAATATTAGCCACAGCACTGGAGATAACTCTGCACCTCTTGAAAATATTAACAATTATCAACTTCTCCAGAGACCCAGAATTTCCATAAATTCATTTCTGATGATCTCTTTAAATGGTGTTGGTGGCAATGAGGAGGATTTGAGGGGAGTTCCATTATGTTGCTTAATATATGCGCAATAGGTCAATATTTAGGAACGGGAATTAACCAGAGCAGCAAAAATAAACATGGCTGGTATTAAGTCAGCATTAGACACTAAATCCACATACTCTGCAACCTTCCTGTATAAGCCTCAAAAATCTGCACTAACAGCTTCCACATATTCAAGAAAAACTGCACCACAGGGGGAGGCGATGGCCTAGTGGTACTATCGCTGGACTGTTAATTAAGGGACCCACACATCTAGGGACACATGTTCAAATCCAGCCATGATGGATGGTGGAATTTGAATTCAAAAATCTGGAATTAAAAATCTAATGATGAACATGAATCCATCGTCAATTGTCAGAAAAACCCATTTGGTTCACTAATGTCCTTTAGGGAAAGAAACTGCCATCCTTACCTGGTCTGGCCTACATGCGAACCCAGACCGAGGGATGGGCAATAAATGCTTCCTAGCCAGCGGCGCCCTCATTCCGTTAATGAATAAAGGAAAAGGAAGTAGGCAGAAGTGATATAGGTGCCATGTCTTCATTAAAATTATATCCACAGCACCAAATCTAATGGCAATAACAACCACATTTTGTAGCTGTTGAGTTAGTACAATTGAAAGCTGAAGGGGAAAAGAAAAAAAGGGCATTTTAGCTAGAAATCATGAAACTCAAAGCATCTGCAGAAGTGTGATGCTGACAGCAAGAGAGTCAGAGGAACAGGGATTGCAGAACGAATCATCCCCAACCCTGAGTATATCCTTTCAATTAGAAGGTCAAACCTTTTAAAGATAGCAGTACAATAGTACACAGTTGATGAGGGGGTATGGTCCTGGGAGCTCTCAACACTAACTTTGGACCACATGAGGTTCTGAAATAGTAAATCAAACATTGGCATGGAAGCCTCCTGCTGCTACCACTTATCACTCTCTCTCAGCATATGAAACTATTCTTCCATGCTAAATATCACTTAGAAAAACTAATGAACAGCTGCAGTACTGAATGATAAATTTGGTGGGAGCCTGACATCTTCAAGAATGCTTTGATAGTGCTACTACTGGCGAAGCTTGTAGACTCCTGAAGGACATATCCGCCATACTGAGTTTGCAGCAGACGATGAGAAAATAAATAACACAAGGGAAAAACAGACAGTCCTTAGAAACTTGAGAAATATTTATTTTTACATGTCTGTAACAGTGCATAATTTATATTTAGGCAGTGTCTGATGACACTCACAAGTGCATACAACTAAGCAAATGTGCTAATCTGGAAACATGTGTGTGCACAATTTCAGACCTATGTCATCAAATAAAATCTGGATGTCGTTGTATGCAAGAGCTGCACTGTATATGCAGAAAATGAGGACCAGAGCCCGTTCCCTCTCCCCACCCTACCCAAAGCCCTCTCACTCACAGGGCCCATCCTTGAACGTCCCCTAACCCATCCCCACATCCCATCTCTCCGGGACCTATTCCCACCAACCGCTCTCCAGCTACACATCCAATTCACAGCCACATCTTGTTTAAACCCAAACCCACTTACGTGTAGGTGTGCAAATTTAAATGGTGCATAGTGTGCATACACCGGTGTCAGTAAATGCAGCCACTTAGTATACTGTGCTAATATAATCATTTGTTCAACATGTCTTAATGTGATACATTAATGAGCAGCACGGTGGCTCAGTGGTTAGCACTGCTGCCTCACAGCGCCAGGGACCTTGGTTCAATTCCACCACCGGGCGACTGTCTGAGTGGGAGTTTGCACTTTCTCCCCGTGTCTGAGTGGGTTTCCTCCGGGTGCTCTGGTTTCCTCCCACAGTCCAAAGATGTGCAGGCTAGGTGGATTGGCCATGCTGAATCGCATGTAGTATTCAGGAATGTGTAGATTAGGTAGGTTATAGGGGGATGGGTCTGGGTGGGATGCTCCAAGGGTCGGTGTGGACTTGTTGGGCCGAAGGGCCTGTTTCCACACTGTAGGGATTCTATGATCTATGACCTCTTATGTGACAAGTGATTATCTGAAATTAATTCACCCTTACTGACAAATTTGTAAACCATTAGTATTTCACACCAGGGTTAAATAGCTGAAAATTATCTTTCTGGGTACACCATTATCTGTTTTCCTGAAATGATAACAAGTTCCCTTTGGAGATGTAATAAACAAACAGTTGAACAGTTCAAAACTTACCCAATCTGGTCTCTCACTCTGATCAGTGTGTCGCAGATTTGGTTCAAGTGGGGGTACAGAATAATCCTTCACTGGTGTAGTGAACTCCACAGGTCCTGTCCCTGGCAGAGGTAGTTTTAATAAGGGATAACTATAACAAAATCAAAGCAAAATGAAAATTAAGTATACATAGTCCAGAAATGTGTAACAGCACTTCAGCATTATTTTCCCCTCATCTATATAAATATTGTATTGCCAAAATATTAACTGACCTCCTGCAGGGTATTCACAATACTTATGTTTTCCAATGTCCAATCCCTACAGTACAAACTCAAAACATCTATCTGGACATTGCATGAGGACTGAAAATCTTGATAACCCTGTATTTCACCTAATTTTTTTTTAAAAAAAGGAGTTGTGTAATATTGAGAAGCAGTTACAACAACTCTTGCATTTCTGATCCAAAAATGGTCCGCCTTAAACAGTGACACAGCAAATGACTTAAAAAGTCTTTGACAAGTGACTTGTTAAGCATTGCAAAATAATGATTTTTCTTCCAGCCCCAAATCAGAGAAACGATAACATTTTTCACTTTTGTTCAAAATTGTACTGTCCTGTATATACCATTCCAAAATAAAATTATATTATTGAAATATATTCAGTTGGCTACAAACATAAATCATTGCAATAAAAGCCTGTAAAGTACTGAACATTAAACAAAATTAATGGTATATTTTGTATTTACAAACAAGAATTTTATTTCTAATTCAAACAATTCTTTCTCCTGCCATCCATTGCGACAAACAAACAATTACTCCGTACATACAGTTCAAAATATTACCCAAACTGGTAAAAGAAAAATTTGTACATCCTAATCCAAAATAACTAGGAGGATTTTATGTTGTCTGCAAGGCAACTGACACAGAGGTCCATTGTGAAGATACAAATGAGTCAATAAAATAACAACTTGACAACAATTTCCCTGGATGTAACACCTTTAATAAGGTAAATTGGCCCAAACCATTTCACAGAAACCTCAAACTAAATTTGATACTGAAACAAAGAAGGAGATTTTAGCACAGACAACCAAACACTTGGTCAAGGGGACAAAGTTTAAGGGGCATCTTAAAAAGAGAGGCCCAAAGATGCAGGAAGGGAGCTCGGACCTTTAATTTGGAAGGTTTTGATGCCAACAATGCAATCATTAAAACTAAGCACGAAAACGATAATTATCATCACTTACGCAGCTTCTCTTCTGTCTTGGCCCACTAATCATAATCTCCTTGTTCACCTACACCTTTCACCATCTCCACCTATTTTTCATCAACCTCACGCTGTCTTCAGCATAAATACCACATTTTTTGAGCTGCTAACAGTTTTGATGAAGTGTCACCGAACTTGAAACATTAACTCTGCCTTCTTCCCACAAAGTAGGCGATGGCCTAGTGTTAATATTGCAGGACTATTAATCCAGAAACCCAGGTAATATCCTGGGGACCTGGGTTCAAATCCCGCCATGGCAGATGATGGAATTTGAATTCAATTTTAAAAAAGTCTGGGATTAAGAGTCTAATGATGACAATGAGATCATTGTCGATCATTAGTGAACCAGATGGGTTTTTCCAAAGGCCTTTAGGGAGGGAAACTGCCATCCTTACCTGGTCTGGACTACATATAACTCCAGACCAATAACAATGTGCTTGATGCTCAACTGCCCTCTGGGCAATTAGGGATGTACTGGGCTGGCCAGTGATGCCCTCATCTCATGAATAAATAAAAACACTATCAGACCTCCTGCATTTTGCCAGTAATTTCCGTAAATAAGGATGTGCAAGAGCAAGCATTGAAAAAGCAGACAGACAATAGGAGAATTGAGGAAAGTTTCAGAGTGAGGTCAAGATGTGATCTGAAAGCAGGATAGGGGTTTTAATACTGACACATAATTGGACTGGACAACAGAATCTAGGAGTGAACATACAGGTAATAGGTGAACAGAACTTGATGAACACTTGAAAAGCAGGGTTTTGGATGAGCTCAAGATTACGTTGGTTGAAGATTTGAGATCAACTTGGACAGCATTTAAGCAGAGTTACTCAAAAATGAAAGAATAGCTTGAAACAAAGATATAGCTAAATAATTAAAGCAAAAGAGTTACTCATTACAATATTGAGTGCTGAGACAGAATGGAAGGAATAAAGATTGAACAGGTTTCATTTTAAGATTCACTGCATCATGTGACTAAGCTAACAAAATATCCTTTTTTCTTGAAATGGCAAATGGTTTTGTAAACCAATTTCAGTCAAAGTACTGATAAGAATCAGTGGGTGTATATTAAAATTTTAACGTATTCACATTTTCTATTTGCATAAGCAACTTAAAAAGCCTCTTCTGCACATTCAATTAATAAATATATAGTGCATGTTAACCTCTGTTGAAAAATGTGCTCTGTAAGGCCTTCATGAAGAACAAATATTTGAATTAGTTAACATCTTTTTTAAAATTACAGCTCAGATTGTTAGCGAGCACAAAGTGAAAAAATGACCATGTCACTCAGTAGATGGAGAACATATCAGAAAGTGAATGATTGCAGAAATAAGAAAACAAGTTCCTGACAAAATCTTGATTCTATCCCAAAACAATAATCCAGAATTACATATTGTACATAGTAATTAAAGGTCAAACAGTCATAGTGAATGCAGGTTTTGGTACCTGCACAAGAGGTGGCAGCAAATACAAAGTTATTTACATTTTTCAGGCTCTTTGGCTTCATAAACAATTCCTACAATCACAAAGTTCAATGGAACTCCTCTTTTTGAAGGCATACATTTGGGAAACAGTTCAAACTAAGCACCAATATTTTTATTCAAAAAGACCTAATTTGTGTCACCAATTTATATAATGAACTGTATCAAAAAAAAAATGTAGAACTCGAAACAAAACGTTATCTATGTTTCATCTTCCAATATCCCTCGTCCAGAATACAGTCCTACTAAGACTCTTCTTGGGACACCCTCAGCATATTCAAGTTATCAAACCTATGATTTTCTTGTTCTACGGTGACCAATATTACCAAGTCATCTGCTAAGTCTAGTTAAAATGAATTTTATTCACATAAATAAACTAGCTCTACATAACAAAGCGAAAAGTAAAATAGTGCAGATGCTGGAAACCGGAAATAAACAGAATGCTGGAGAAGCTCAGTAGATCAGGCAGAATTCTGTTTATCTCTCCACAGATTAAGTCCACTGCTTTTTGGCATTTATATGAATAATCTCAATGTGAATATAGGGAAGTATGGTTAGCAAATTTGCAGATGACACCAAAATTGGTGGCGTAGTGGACAGTAAAGGTTACCTTGGAGTTCCACGGGATCTTGATCAAATGGGCCAATGCGCCGAGGAGGAGCAGATGGAGTTCTGTGAATTTAGGAAAATGTAAGGTGTTGCATTTTGATGGGCAAATCAGGGCAGCACTTATACACTTAAGGAGAAGATTCTGGGGAGTGATGTCGAACAAGCAGACCATGGAGTGCAGGCTCATACTTCCTTGAAAGTGGAGTCGTAAGTAGATAGGGTAGTGAAGGCGGCATTTGGTACACTTGCCTTTATTGGTCAGTGTACCGAGCATCGGAGTTGGGTTGTCATGTACAGGACATTGGTTAGGCCACTTTTGGAATACTGCGCCTTGTTGTTAAACTAGAAAGCGTTCAGAAAAGATTTACAAGGATGTTGCCAGGGTTGGAGGTTTTGAGCTAGAGGGTGAAAGTGAACAGGCTAGCACTATTTTCCATGAAGCATTGGAGGCTGAGGGGTGACCTTATAGAAGTTTATAAAATCATGAGGGCATAGATAGGGTGAGTAAACAAGATCTTTTCCCCAGGGTAGGGGAATCCAAAACTGGAGGGCATAGGTTTAAGGTGAGAGGGGAAAAATTTAAAAGGGACCTGAGGGGCAACATTTTCATGCAGAGGGTGCTGCGTGTATGGAATCTGCCAGAGGAAGTGGTGCAAGCTGGCACAAATACATTTAAAAGCCATCTGGAGGCGTATATGAATAGGAATGGTTTAGAGGGTTTATGGGCCAAATGCTGGCAAATTGAACTAGATTAATTTAGGATATTTGGTCGGCATGGATGAGTCGGATTGAAGGGTCAGTTTTTGTGTTTTATATCTCCGTGAGTATATGACTCTAATGCTGAGACCAGTATGACTCTTCTGAAACACAGTGCCAGTGACACCCATAGCTCATACAAAACAAAAAGTAATGTTTGGTGCAATGGCCTTTAAAATAGTTCTCAAAAACAACTTGTTGTTTGTAAGAAACATTGATCAGAACAACGTTTCTGGCTGTTAAAAGAACATTTTGAGAGATATGAACTCGAAAAACTTTATCACACATTTCACTGTTTATATAGGCCAAAATTTGAAGAAATCAATTGGGACTTCTGTTTAGCAATGTGTGCTGGGCAAGCTTAAAACTTTTTTTAAAATAAATAAATGCAACTGATGGAAATTTTCAAACAGCCTTAAAAAAGTGAAGTTAATATTATGCTAGCCACAAGTCAGTTTGGCTCAGCTGACAGCCTCCACTTCAGTCAACTGTTAGTCCATGCAATATTTCTGTTCATGAGCAAATATTCAAAGGTAACACAATAATATGGCATTATTAGAGTTGTCATTGTTTAGTGTTTATTTATCAAACAATTAAATGCCTGCTGACACCAACATTACAATGATAAATTCCAACTGTACGTACTTAATTCCATCATTTTCAAGACTGCAGAAGCACTTATGTCATTGGAATTTATCACTGCAATATAAAGCTGATTTATTTTTAAAAAGTAAAAAGCTATTTTGTTTGAACGGTCTCTCAAGGATATGTTTTTTATTTTTACATTTTTATGCTTTTTAAAAAATGAATATTTAAACTTGATTCAGAGAGCAACAGCAAAACAAAGTGCCCGTTCAGTGGACGTTAATAATCTCATGGCACTGATCAAGACAGCAAGTTACATGGCCTCATTAGCATTACAAAGGGCAGATCATGGCATACTGTTAATATTATTGGGCTAGTAATCTGGAGACCCAGGATAAAGGTCTGAGGGCATGGGCCAAAGGTCACCTTGCCAGCTACTAGAATTTAAATTCAAAGAATTAATTAAACTGGAATATATAGCTACTCTCAGTGACCATGACATCTATCACTGAATGTGAGAAAAACCCACCTAGTTCACCAATGCCCTTCTTTTTGGGAAGGGAATCGGCCATTTTGTCCAACCTACATGAGACTCCAAATCCACAGCAATGCTGTTAGCCCTCTTAAATTCACTACTCGATAGACGCTTTCCATCTATGTACAAGTTAAAATACCCCATTAATACTACTCTGCCTTTGCTACAAATTTCTGCCTAATTCCTGTATTTAAACAATCTAGCACTCAGAGATGCTACCAACGGCTCTCTACACAACACCTATTAGTTTTAGATGGTGGCTCAGTGACTAGCACTGCTGCCTCATAGTGCCAGGGACCTGGGTTTGATTCCAGCCTCGGGCAACCATCTGTGTGGGGTTTATACATTCTCCCCATGTCTGCATGGGTTTTCTCCAGGTCCTCTGGTTTCCTCCTACAATCCAAAGGTGTGCAGGTTAGATGGGCTGGCTACGCCCATAGTATCTACAGTCAGGAAATACAGCGATGTTGTAGGGGGTGGGTCTCGGAAGGTCAGTTTGGTCTTGATGGGCCAAATGGCCTGCTTCCGCACTGTAGGGATTCTATGATTCTAAATCCTTTACTATTCCTCAGTTCCACCCATAAAGTTCCAGTGGATGCTTTCCTTCATTACATGCTTCCTCACTAATGAAGTGATTTCGTTTCTAATTAGCAAGGCTACTCCATTCCCTCTGCCAACTTCCCTATCCATCCTGTAAACATTATACCTGGTACATTTAGTTTCTAGACCATCCTGTAGCTATGTCTCAGTAATGACGACTACATCATAATCTCCAATTTGAATTTGTGCCTGCAACTCATTTAGTTTATTCCTTATACTCTAAATAGAGAACTCCTATTTGGACCATACACTCTAACCTGCCCCTTAGCACTGATGCTTTATTCACCTGTTTATAATTTTTCTTCTCTGGTGTAATCAGCGCATTCCTTATTGTTTTGCCATTATCTGCCATATCTGAAGTAGGATTTCCGACTGGTTCTTTACTTTCTGTCCGGTTAATTGTTTTTGAAACTTACTGACTTCCTTGACACCTGTCCCCAGAAGCCAAAGTTTCTCATGGGAACTGTTCATATTTTGCAAATATACATCACAGGAGGCCATTCCGCTGAATGCGTTCATGCCGGTTAACAAAGGTAGTCCACATTGGTTTATAACTAATACAGTCACATGCTTCCTATAATGCGATGAGCAAAACTGTATACAATACTCCAGTTGTGGGTTATCCACACTTTATGCGGTTCCCGCATAACCCTCTTGCTCTTTATTCTATGTTTGGTTAATAAAGGGAAACATCCTGTTTGCCTTCTTAAAAGCTGCCTTGCCTCACTCATCAACTGGACATATGGCAATGCACTCTGAATTGTCCAACTCATTGTGGACTTCTCAAAAAATTCTGAGTCGCTCTACATCAGTTGACAGAAATATCTCAGAGTATGGGATATATCATCACTTAATCTCCTAAGACAAAGCACAACGAATTCAAAACTCTCCACTTACCAAGTTAGAAAATTGCTGGTAAAATCTGGGTCTAAGTAGCTTAATACAAGGCTTCAAAAGTTTTAAGACTCCATCAGTAAGTCACAGTAGTTACATAAGCAAGCAAGCAGAAATTCTAATGTTTTAAGCCATGATCAAGCATTTTTGTCAAATTGAGATACCAATGAAAACCGATTACATTTGATGCAACTTTCTTCAAAAAATTTTATGTCAAGCTGTTACATGTCCAGACAGGAATTGAGCTTGACCTGCTAAATGACTGAAGTATTTATCATTATAAAATATCTCAAATTTACAAGTAAACATTACTAAAAATAGGGCTTTCAGATATTGTTGAATAACAGCTTTTAAGAGTAAAATTTTCTTGAAATGAAACAAAGAAGAACAAAGAATAAAGAAAATTACAGCACAGGAACAGGCCCTTCGGCCCTCCAAGCCTGCACCGATCCAGATCCTCTATCTAAATCTGTTGCCTATTTTCCAAGGATCTGTATCCCTCTGCTCCCTGCCCATTCATGTATCTGTCTAGATACATCTTAAATGACGCTATCGTGCCCGTCTCTACCACCTCCGCTGGCAACGCGTTCCACCGCCCTCTGCATAAAGAACTTTCCATGCATATCTCCCTTAAACTTTTCCCCTCTCACCTTGAAATCGTGACCCCTAGTAATTGAGTCCCCGACTCTGGGGAAAAAAGCTTCTTGCTATCCACCCTGTCTATACCTCTCATGATTTTGTAGACCTCAATCAGGTCCCCCCTCAACCTCCGTCTTTCTAATGTAAATAATCCTAATCTACTCAACCTCTCTTCGTAACTAGCACCCTCCATACCAGGCAACATCCTGGTGAACCTCCTGTGCACCCTCTCCAAAGCATCCACATCCTTTTGGTAATGTGGCGACCAGAATTGTATGCAGTATTCCAAATGTGGTCGAACCAAAGTCCTATACAACTGTAGCATGACCTGAAACTCTTGTACTCAATACCCCGTCCGATGAATGAAAGCATGCCGTATGCCTTCTTGACCACTCTATCCACCTACGTTGCCACATTCAGGGTACAATGGACCTCTCTGTACATCAATTTTCCCCAGGGCTTTTCCATTTTCCGTATAGTTTGCTCTTGAATTGGATCTTCCAAAATGCATCACATGTATGAAACATGTATTAAATCAGAACAAGAAGAACTTCCTCCTAAACAAAACAGCAGCAGTTAAACATCTGAAGATTAGTCACATTTTCTGTTTGATGAAAGTGGTTTGCACCATGGTGGTCAACTCCTAAACATGATTTGATGTGACTCTCAAACAACATTTTGGCATGACAGTCCCTGTTGCTTTTGCTGTAGAGAAAGGTCCATAATTCAATGGTCTTTCCTTACATTGGGTCCTCTTCTCAGCTAGCCCTTCTAATTCTCTCCCCAACAGTCAGCCACCTAAGATCATGGTCATTAATAACTGTCTCCCAGTTTGTTGTGTCTATGTCCATTCTTAACATCACGCTTGCAGATATTCCTGGTATCAGAGGCATCGATATCGGGGAAGTTGTGACCAAGTGTCCAATTCACCGCATAGAAAGTCTCCAGCTGTATGGTCATCATCCATCTATTGAACATGGCCATGACAATGCAGACATTTGCAATGAGTGCTGAAATAGGATTAGCATGCTCCAGGACCTGAATTGGTCATCTTGTCCTGCCAAGAGATGCCAAAGATACATCTGAAATCAGAAGTTACTTTTGCTGCCTACCAAATTTTGCCATGGTCAGTACTATAGATAAGCACACTGATGAAAATAACAGGTATATCATAAAAAGTTCCCTCTGTGTTCAACACAAGGCATCTTTTCCTTTATTTCTAAAACTTGCTTTTTTAAACAGTCGGTGATGACCCCCTTCTTTTGTTTTCAATTGAGCTATTTTCTTTCCGATTGCTTTTTTGGATCCCTTCAGACATGCTTTTAACAATCCCTGTGTGAAAAGGTGTTTCATTGGCATTTCAGCAGATTTGCTAGTTATTAATGCACTATTTGGCAGCTCATTGGACTTTACTTCAGCTGGCTCTTCATATGTTCACAGGTGTCTCACTTGGATCTCACTTATAATTGATGAGAGTGAACTGCTTGTCTTAAATAACATCTCAGTGATGTTAGCAGTTTTCCATATGTTGAGTGTACAGTATTGTAAATGGTGTCTTGAAATACGTTGCATTTCACTACTGCACTGTCTATGCGTGGAACTGTTTACTTTAGTCTATATAAGCAGGTTGGCTGATCTTGATACAAGGACAGTATTGCTTTGAATTTTCAAAATTGCATCAACTTTAGTGCACGTTAGGGAGTGATCTGCATGCATCAACTTTAGTGCACGTTAGGGAGTGATCTGCATGCATCACAGTTGGTGCTGTGGTAGTTGTGTTGTTTAGATTGTTGTTGAGGTAGTTATTTATGGTTATAGTTATCTATCAGACCAAGCTGTTCCCAGTGCCCTGATCTTGGAGGTGTTCAGGACATCATGTGGCATGGTTTGTTCTGAAAGTTGTTAAATATACAAAGCCAGTAGGAGCAGCAAAGCTCAAGTGATCTATATTTAAATGTGTGAAGATTTTCAATAGCAACTAGCTTAATTGCCTTAAGGCTTGCCTCTTCAAAAGCTCTCCAAAAGGCTTTGCTAGCTCCAGCCTGCACAAATTTTTACAATTCTAAAGCTTTATTGTTTCTATCCTACCTCTAAATCACATTTGTCTATCATCCTGTTATTATCAACTCACACTGTTTCTCTATGTGCTTTGTTGCAAGGGATCTTGTCTCTTAGCACCACCCAAAATGTCATCCAGCCCTACATCCAGCCGTTAATTTTTATTCATTTGGCTTTGGGTTGCTTTGACAACCTTTCACAACTAAAAGCTGTCTGGAATCACATACTAGATTACAATTTTATCACAACATGTTATCCACATTACTACACTTCAAAGACTTCTGGCAGCTTTCTCTTTGGCCATACCTTCAGTCACCTCTCCTAATCACCTTCTCACTCTTTCCTGGTGATCATTTCTCTTCCTCGCCTGCAAAGCTTAGGAATTTTATACATGACTTTTAAATTACCAAACCAGGTTGACCTGCTAACACTCTAGTCGACTAGTCAAAGCTCATATTGATAGAATTTTCTACTTACCAACACGTTAAGATGCACACAGCAGTAAAAAAAATAATGGGAATAGGATAAGATGCACACAAGAGCCCATGGTTATAGAATGCTTGTGATATCTTTTCACGTAGCCTTTCAGTGAGGGTCATTGTTGTCATCTTTTGTCACATGACGGCCATTACATTATGAGTATTAGACACGCAGTGTACCAGGATGGCCTTGGTAACATCAGGAGATCTGCAAGATAAAAGAAATCAAATATTTAGTCCTGAATGAAACATGCAATATTTTTGAAGACTGTATTAGTTTTAATTGACTCTAAAACTTGCATCACATGTTACATTTGCACTTTTTTTCATCACATATTATTACATTTACACTTATCTTTCACTGGATTGCACTCGTTCAATACACCATTGAAGTCTTCAGTACTGCACTGACGGAAACATAACTTTAACCGTTGCTTTGGCAGCGATTTTGATTTGCAAGAGATCTTCGACAAATACACATTATTGGATATGTGCCATCCTAATTTTCCAAAACAAAATAGTGAAAAAGAGAAACAGTACCTTTTAAGACAGAAATGTGATTTTAACAGCATAGAGCAAAATAAATAACTCACTTGCAAATAAAGCAAACAAAAATAATTAAGAGAACAAGAAAACAGCCAACAATATAGACAGGAAGCAAAAGAGAAACATTTTGATTGAACCTCAGGATATCTCAGACTGCTTTAGAATCAATGATGCACTTTGGAATTAAAGTCACAGTTACAATAATATGGGGAAACACACCAGCCCAACAGTTATGAGATTAATGACCAGTTAACCGATTTAATTACACTGATTGAGGCTTAAATATTTGCCAGGTTAACACGAGAATTGGAACCAAGAGGCCTGGTTCAAGTCCCACTTGCTCCAGAGATGTGTTGTAACATCTGTAATACAGCTAGCTTTGAAAATATCTAACATAATAAATTCCTTGCTCAGCTTTGATTAATGCTATGTGATGGTTTGCATTTGTACAAGATGGCAGATAGTGACTCAATTCAGCCACAAGACAATACTTCCAACAGCAAAACAATCCCTTTACCAAAATATTAGCTGAGATGATGCACTTATGGTTATACATTGGGCTTGAATCCACAAGTATCTGGATTAAAGGCAAGTTTGACACAGCTCTCTAAAATACAGGAAAAAATTATTTAGTTTGAGATCTATTTGAGACTCCTCACAGGCTCAATTTTCACCCACGATTCACCAAGGCACCAGGATCCCAGATGAAATTCTGTGCATTAAACGATGATTCAGAACAACAATAATTATTTTTCATATAGGATTAGTGACTATGAGGAAATGGAAAAATTTGGCTTTATAGTTATTAAACAAAAAGAATGCACAACAGATCACAAACATCTGAAAGAAATCAGGCAACAATTCAATAATACTTTCATCAGAACAAAGACTGACACAACATTAGCTTCTTGAAGAATCACTGAAATTTCAGCAAAGGAGGTGGCCATTTGGCCAATCAAGTCAGCAATGCTATTTTCAAAAGACAATCCCCTCTTTTCCAATATTCCTGCACTTCTTTCTCCTTCAAATAGTTATCCAATTTCCTTTTATAGATCATTATTGAAAAGTATCACCCATCTTTCAGATGATATGCATCTGGTATCATGTACTAAATTAGAGTTTTGTCAATATATATATTCCATATTACTACACTTCAAAAACTTCTAATAGCTTTCTCTATGGACATAACTTCAGGCATTTTTTTTTAAACTATCTGGTGCAGAACAACAGGGATCAGTATTAAGGCCTCAACTACTTAAAATCAATATTAATGACTTGGTTGGAAGGAATAGACTGTTAGCCAAATTTGCTGACAAATGTATGCAGGAAAGCAAGTTGTGAGAAGGATACAAAGAATGTGCAAAGGAATATAGATAGGTTAAGTGAATCAGTAAAGGTTTGACAGCTGAACGAGTACAACGGGAAAATGTGAGGTGTCTAAATTGGAAAAACAGCACATTATTTAAATGAAAGGAACCTCCAGAATGCTGCAGTACAAAGGGACTTAGGTGCCTTGATGCAATCTAATTTTTGACATTTGTGTAAGTGCAGGAACAAGAAAGACTCTGCAGTGGAAAGGAGAGTTGGAGATGGTGGTGGTTTGCAAGGATAGAGGGATCGAAAGTGATTTTCTTTTTTAAGATTTAAGATTTTAAAGGAAGAAGACAAATCAGACAGTCATTAACAATATCAATATAATGGCCAGGGATGAAAGTTCAGTCATCAGCAGTTCAGCGGAACTCAAGTCGGAAGTGGATCTCGTGGACATGAGCGGAGATATAAGGGGAAGAAGATGCAGGTTCAGAACCAAGGCAAGGGCTCTCTGCACCATCCAAATCTGAAATTATGAATCTCCCTGATTTTAACTGTTCCACCAGTTATGGCTATGTTTTCAGGCGCAGAGGCTCCAAGCTCTGTAGGCTGCTCCCTGAACCTTTCTCCATCCTAATCACCAAAAAGAACTTTAATATTTAATCAAGAAAGTATCCATTTATCGGAGTTGTATTATTAGATCACAACTTCAGTCCAATACAGAACACCAGCAATTTTTAAAAAGTGCGTCAGGGCAAGTAGCTCTACATGCTTGCTAAAAATAGTAAGCTGTGATAAAACATGACTTATTTTAGGATGTGAGCATGAGTCTTAGTAAAAGGAGAACTCATAAGGGTTTGGATAAAGTAGATAAGGATTATCTATCTGCACTGGTCTGTTAATAGATGATTGATTTCCCGTGTTGTGTTCTCTTGTTATTGGACGAATGTTCAGTACCATGATAATTTATTTGCTGTCGAGCTTGACGTCACCTCATTTGTGATTTGAATCAATACTTTGTAGATATAACCGCAAAGATTACATATGAAGTCACTGTTGGAGGGGTGGGTGACATACATCGTGCTTGCTTGTCCCTGCAGGAACCTGCCTGTGTTATCCTCAAATATATAAATTGTTTGATGGCAGATTTCTCCATTTAGAAAAATCTCAACATCCCCACCCACCCATGTAGTGGAGTCCAAAATACAAGCTCTGAAATTGTCTTTCAGAACATATGTGCATTTACATTTAGGATGCTCCATGGCACAGTGTCCAATGCTCAGTTGGTCATAGAATACTGAGTTTGGTATATGGGAAGTCTTGGAATACACGAGTTCAAAAAGATAACTCAGCACCACATTCTCAAGGGCAGAAGGGATGGGTCAAAAATGCTGGCCCAACCAGCAACGCCCATATCTCATAAATGAATCAAAAAAAATCCTCCATGAAACTACACGATAAACCCAGTGAAGCTAAATTGTAATAAGCATGTGCTTCATACCAGTTACACACCGATTTACAACATATTTGGTGACAGAGATTTTGGTATGGAACTAGATACTGCAGATTGATAAACGGAGAAGATGGACTAGTTCTAATCACTTTGTTAGACACTAGTAGGGTAACCATGCTTCACAGCTAAAGAAAAGTTGTGTGGAAACCACTGCTTGGTAGACTTTGATCTTGGCTTTCAGATAAACTACATGCCCTTTTCAAAGTTGTCTCTGAGCCTCAATGTAGATTTTGCTTTTACCATGTAATTACTGATTTCAGGGGATATTTCAAAGATGTGCAGAACTTCTGAACTCAATGGGTAACTATGGAGCACAGAATGATGATCATCAAAAGGTGAATGAAAATCATGGATGGGTGTGTTTTGTAATACGCAAAAATTGTTTGGACATGAGGTGACCTGCCAGGAAGAGTTGCGGTAGAATCTACAAAATGCCTTTGAAAAGAAAATGGATCAGCATTTGCATTAAAACATACAGGATTCTGAAAGGGCTTGATGATATTGACTCAAAGACTGTTTCCCCTCATTGGGAAATCAAACAATGGGACACGGCCTTATGATAAAAAAACCAATCATTTCAAACTGGCAAGAGAGTTTTTTTTTTCACTCAAACGGTGAACTTTTGGAATTCTTAAACCCAGTGGCTGTGGTTGCTCGATTGTTGAATATTTTTAAGACTTAGACAGACTTTTTGGTCCTAAAGTACTCAAGGGATATGGGGAGCATGATGGAAAACAAAAACAAAGCTCAAGTTCAGCCATGACTGTACCGAATGGCAAGCAACAGGCCATATAATCTTTTCTTGCTCCTACTTTATATGTTTTTACATTCAAAAATTGCAAAAGAAAGGAATGAAATGATTTAGCTTTCTGAAAGTGCCAAAGGACAAATGATTTCCCTCGATGCTGTAACATCATATTATGCCATTATTCTAAATACGCTTCACAAGAATGAATTCAAGAATGAAGGTTTTGGCTACGAGAAATGCTTGAATTTTTTTCTTCACTGGAATAGAGCGGGTTAATTGGAAATCTTGAAGAGGTTGGAAAAACTATGAACTGTTTTCAGGAAGTCATATGTGAAAATACATAGCATATGGGCACCAACTCGAATATATCATTAATAACTATGTGAAAAGATTGAAAATTTTTAATACTAATTTCTTTTAAAGGCAGAATGCTTTAAATTATGTTGGTACAGAAGCAAAGGTTATGATGTAATTTAATTGAAAAAATAAACTTTTTAGCACTGCTGCCTCACAGCGCCAGGGACCCGGGTTCAATTCCACCCTCGGGTGACTGTCTTTGTGGAGTTTGCACCTTCTCCCCGTGTCTGTGTGGGTTTCCTCCGGGTGCTCCGGTTTCCTCCCACAATCCAAAAATGTGCAGGTTAGGTGGATTGGCCATGCTGAATTGCCCATAGTGTTCAGGGATGTGTAGATTAAGGGGATGGGTCTGGGTGGGATGCTCTGAGGGTCGGTGTGGACTTGTTGGGCCGAAGGGCCTGTTTCAACACTGTAGGGATTCTATTCTATTCTATGAAATACCTATTAGCATGGACAAAATCCAAAGAAACCTCAAGAGGTAAAAGTGAAGAATGGACATTAGAGTCAAAGACTGAGACTGATCCAGTGTAAATAAGGTTTGGCAGCTGTGCTGTAGTTGGCAAATATCAATCTCAAGATTAATGTTAATGTCATCAGAAATGCCTCAAGAACTTCACAAAAGAAAAAAGGAAAAGCGAAAATATTTAACGTTTGCACGTCACAACAGTATACACCAGGACAAGCTTTTCTCTGTACTGAAAGCATTATGCAATAATTTTGGAATTGCCCTCTTGAAACACACCTGTAAAGTCATCAAATGTACACCTTTC